CATGGAGCTTGGACTGAAAAGGGGGGAGAGTGACCCCTGAATTGGGGGGAAGGGGTGTGGACCCTAACCCTGGTTGGCCTCAGAGTGAGTGCTTGAGGTAGGGAGGTGGGTTGACTCAGGTCAGTCATCATTTAGGAGAATAATGTATCATAGTAGTTGGGAATATTGTTGGTGTCGTCTAAAGGGGCTTATTACATTTAAGTCAGATGGCTAGGTAGATAGCCCCGAGGTTGATGCTGCAATGACGAGCCATAAACAGCCAATCTTTCGGTGACCTGAAGACTTCAAGTTGTTGTAAGGGTTCTAGTCATAAATCACATTCAATCTGTGCTGGGCATGACAAACTGATTGACAACCTGGCACTGTTATGACGTGACAGAGACTCATTTCTAACCTGACCTCTGGCTTGATCCAGAGGAAGATATCAAGATAAATGTGAGAAGCCTGTTGCTGTAGCAGAGTGTAAAACTTGTCAAAATAGATCGTCATCATTGTTTTTTTGACTGCCATTCTCAATACTACTACTCGGCATATACATTTGACACCCTAGGCTCTTCTGAACACTGTTCCTCAAAGATCGCAGAGCTCAGTAATAAAAAGGTTTCGCAGTTTACCCACAGCCCCAGATCACCCCACGAGGTTTTCGAGATCTTGGTGTCATGGTCAACCAGAGAGGCAATCGAGGATGTACGAATCCACCTTAGGCCTCCTCTCTGCTCTATATATCGATGAAACCATCTCAGCCTTTTGACAACAGCCTGCCCAGGCGTTCCTACCTTTCTTACAGAATCTCGATGATGCCTTGATCAGTGTATCTATACGGACCGCTACCTAGGCATGCCGTCTTCATCATCAATAATGAAATTCTATTGTTATTCCCATGTATGAGTAAACCCTCTTTCTTCTTTCAACCTCACATCCTCCCTCATCATACACATCACCACATCACATCTCCAACATCTGCCTCTCTCTCACCACCAATCCCTCTCCTAACAACAACGGTGGCCTGGCCCTGTCTCGCCTCCCACATGCAGAAAATCGACTGCTGGGAGCCATTCGGCGACGCGACGAAGGATGTCCCCCGAGCCCCGCCGTTTGTGAAGAAAGGCGTCCATCACTGTGAGTACCCTCTTCCTGCTGTGAACAGCAAGATTGGAGAGTGTGATAAAATATCAAGGAATTAAGCGATGGTTGAGATATCTTGAAAGATTGCCAAGAAGTTTGGAAAGCGAGTCAAAAGGGGTGTTGGTCATCTTTCGGTGTTCCACAAGTATCTCTCGAAATCCTTCGAAGCCTCATCATTATCTTTTAGGATTGTCCAAAAGCTAACATGTATCCAACCCTTCAGGCCGCTGTGATCTCCCTCTTGAGCGTCGCATCGCCGGTCCAGCATCCAAGCGGCCCGAGAGCCCGTACTGGGGATGTGCCAAGTGGCAACCGGAGGGCCAGCACGGAGCATGCGAGGCTTGGATCTGGGAGTGAGACATGGAAAATGCTCATCGGAAGTGGGAGAGAGAGAACGGATCTGAGCCGTGCGTTACAAAGCGGTGGCTGGCCGAGACAGCCGAAGGAGGTGCTCCGAGGATGGTGGGTTGGGGAAGGTTGCTGGAAACGGGAGAAAGAGACGGAGTCAGATGGGGAATGGGAAGGGGTTGCGCGATATGTTGGGTAGTATTAACGTGAAGGCCGAGGAGGTTGAGGACGACGATGATTTCATTGATCGGGATAAGGACTCGCACTGGGGAAGCACGTCGTGGCAGCAGGTGGAGGGGGATGGAGAGGAGGACGAGGGGGAGGAGGTAATCAGTCAAACACAGGGTGGAAGAGCCGAGGACGACGATGATGATGACGGGATGAGCATACCTTCGACTATCCATGGACTCCGACCTCGGGGAAGAAATCGACAGTAAAAGCTCACCATTTCATCGACTTGACTACCAGTGATCAAGAAGATGAGCAATCTGACCACAGGAGGCTCAGAGCTCTTCAGATGGAGGTAAAGGCTCTGAAGAAAGAGAACGAGGTTCTGAAGGTGGAGGACAAGGCCCTTGCGAAAGACCTGGAAGGTGAAAAGGAGGTTGTTGAGCTCAAGAACAGAGAGACTGCCATTCTAAAGGAGAAGGTGGAGGCAAGGGAAGATCTGATCAGGCAGTTGAAGGGGGAGGGTGCTGTCGTTAAGAAGCAGGAGGAGTAAGTGCCCGTCGTTGGTGACATGGGGACGGTGAAGCTGGGAAGCATGGTAAAAGCGGTGCGTGGATTTATGGCAAGGCATTCATGGTGGTTAATCCGAGTGCATCTCTGAATGCATACATGCAACGCACCGAGGCCACGAAGCCCGGAGTTTTGGTGCGCTGCCTGTTTGTATTTTAGCCGACAACACCTCCAGCTAAGGTGAATGAGATCATATCATGATCAAGCGGCTTATCTGCTCTCACTCTACAGCGTTGATTTTGTACACTGTTTCCAATGCTGTGTCGATCGTATGCAAGTGTGCCTTGAGAAAGCCTGAGCTGAAGAAATATTGATGCAGCTGCACCACCTTTCTGTCCGACCCAATCACGAAGATGGCTAAGCTCCGATGACAGGCTACAAAAGCGGGCTGTCACATCACCAGGCCGTTTTCTCTTCAGTGCCCCCTTCGAATCTACAATCATGACCCCACCTTTTAGCGCCAAGTTGCTCAATTTCATCTGTGAACAGAGCAACTATCTGGTCCTATCTTGACGAGCTTCGCTCCCACTTGTTTCTTCTCCTGACTTCTCACGGACAAACTCTCCTCGATTGCCCAAACTGTCAGGATGTACTCACCGCCATCCTCCCAGTCAAAGAAAGAATGTCCTGGTGCGCACCGGCGCAATCATCGAGAGTGGCGCCCATTTTCTGCGCTCGGAAAAGAAGGACTGCTTATGATTGATGGCGTGTTTTATTGTAAGCTGTCCTCCACACCTGGCGATAAGGAAGTGAGTCCATCTAACCGGCACCAGGCAACTGCAGGGACCGCAGCAAGTTGAGCGTGAAGCAAGTCACAGGCAATAAGAACAATAACCAAGGCAGATGGTACTACGGCTGCCCAAACTGGGATCCGATCTCGCGAGGTGGTTGTGGCCTTTACTCCTTTGAGGATGAGTTGGAGACAAAGCACAGGGCGTACGAGAGGGAGTTCAAGTATGAGCCTTGCGAGACAAGCTGGTGGATTGACCCTACAAGGCTACCTTTGGAGGGAGAGGCCTCGTCGAACCATCTACATGGTATTCGGCAGGGACAGTGGGATAATTACGACGACTTGAGATCGAGGAGTCAGCAAGGCCGAGAAAACGGGGAGGAGGACGATGAGGACGATGAGGACGATGAGGAAGACGATATGCACACTGCCCTTGAGAACAGCCCTGCGCCAGCATTTATCTTCCAAGCACCCCACCAATGGAGTGGTTCCCGCTCGAAGAAGTACCAGCAGATGTATCTGGTACCGGTGCCAAATGACGGCGTGTCAGTCAGCTCTGGGACAAGTACGGTGCTGAAAGGCTTTGAAAGCTTTGAGCTTTCCTCTCAACGGTCTTTTCGGGACACTGCAAGCAGTGTCTGCTCTACCCCGAGCCGCAAAAGGAAGCTCGGCCTTGGCCTTGGGAACATGCCGACGCCGACAAGCGGATCAGCGAGGACGCCCAGAAATAGTCTTCTTATTACCAGAGAATCGAGGACGGGAAGCTCCTCCAAGCGCCAAAGAAGGGTAGAGAGCGATAAGCTTCCGCCTACACCAACCACCAGCCGAACAGTCAACGAAACAGTCAACGGGCTGTATACGCCTTGGGTACCATCTATCGAGGAGGAAGATGAAGACATGTACGAGGAGGGCCAGGCGGCTGCTCCGGTTATCAGGCGTCTCTTCACCTCACCCAGCCAGCAGTCCTCGTTGGACCCGGCGTCAATCAAGCAGGTGGTGGAGGCAGTCATCATGACATTGGATGAAAGAGACCGGATAAGAAGTAGCCAAGCAAGCGCCGTTGAGGATGTCTGAAGGGGAGGTGCTGTTGTTCTGGAGAGGTCAGTAAAGGTAAGGTAATGGTTTCGATATGTTTGCCTAGGTTCGTAGCTGATAAGATCAGTATGTGTTCAAGAGGAGATTTCGTGCATTGCAGGTGCATATAAAACTGCTCCCATACATGCATGCTCTTTCGATAAACAACAGCGGCATATTGGACTGGTATCGTGCCAGAGTGACGATGTTTGCCGCCGCCGATGCGAAGGTTAATTGAGCACCGGGAAAAGCCAATTACGGGAGCAATTCATGATGAGGAGTGCTCAATTTAGCTGACAATTGATGAGCGCGTGCATTGAGTATAGGGGAGAAAGAGCACAGACCTGGGTTCCATTGCCATTTAAATCGACAAAAAGTCGCGTGTCGCGTTCACCCCTTCCTGATTTAAAAGAATTAAAATAAAAAGGCAGGGAAGGTGGTGGGATGCGGGACTTGCAGAAACCTTGAATTTTGAAATGGGCTTGGCGCTGGGTTGCTCGAGGAAAGCACTCCCTAGACGCTGGAATTGTTGACTTTGTTTCCTATTCGGGACCGTCAATCGCGTTTTCGGCGCCTGTGATTGGCTGCAGTTAGACGCGGGCAGAGCAGATGGGCGGAGCCCTGGCACACGACGTGGGTCCGTTTTTTAGATGATTGTGCTTTCTGCACCAGAAGGTACCCAGGATCGCGGTCGGCACGCTCTGCAACATATCCACCCCCTCTTTCAAAAGGGCCTTCCTTTCTGCCACGGATTTCCCTGTCTTGCGCGTCGACACGTTCACCGACCTTTCTCTTGCTTTCTCTCTCTCCTCTGTTGCCTCGTCCGTTGCTCTCCGGCACAGCTTCACCCTTCCGCACCAGCAGCACGACGACGACGAGAGACTATCTCAAGCTTTGCGACGGTCCCATTGTAGCATGCCCTGCTGACTCGGGCACGCCTCTCACGATATACCCCCATCCCCGCCCCCCCAAATACCAATTGACAATGGATCACCAAGCTCCTTTACCACGCGCCTCCTCGCCGTCACCAGCTCCTCGTGCCCAATCCCCCGCTGTGTCGGGCGACGAACAGCAGCCGAGCTCTCCCACCACCGCCAATGCCCTCCCCGCAATTCCCCAGCAGTCGTCACCCGAATACAGACCAGAGTTTTTGAGATCAGTGGGGGAGAACGAAAGACACCCCAAGGGCAAGAGGAAACGCACCGCGTATGTGACACCGTCGGGCTATGGCATTATTTGTCGAGTAAAGTCCTCGATTTACTGACAAAAACGCGTTCTGCAGTGCCAAAGACAAGGCGATCCTCGAGGCGGCCTACAACGCCAACCCTAAGCCTGACAAGGCAGCGCGTCTCGATATTGTAAAACGCGTCTCACTTAACGAAAAAGAGGTTCAGGTTAGTGCCAGCGAGGAACAGGACGCGTATCGGTTCTCTGTCTCTGTCGAATCGGCACTAATATGTAGCGGCTAGATTTGGTTCCAAAACAGAAGACAAAACGACAGAAGAAAATCACGACCCTTGTCGCCGCAGGAGCTTGCGGCCCTCAGATACGGCGGCATGCAGATCCTCTCTTCTGACCCCGCCCCTTACAACACCGCTTTTAGTTCCGATATCACCAACACCTCGCCGCTTCAGTCATTATCACGACCCGAGCAGGAACCGACGTCCCCCACCCAGCCAGATAGACCTGTATCTCAAGCTGGGGAGGAGGCCGAGCCAGTGGCCGAAGTACCCCGCGAGACTAGCAAGTGGGAGGAACCCCGGGACAACGCTAAGGAACTGGCTACCCCTGCTCCTAAACCAAGACCCGCTCACGACCAGTCTTCAGCGCTGTCACAGTCCTTCTCGGCGTCGGTTGGTTATCTTTCCAACAGGTGGAATACTGGCAACTCATTCACGACACCGGCACCAGTGACGGCTGGTCGTGATGAGCCCTTCTCGTGGGTAACACCTATGATGCAGCCTATCACCGTGTCTCCTAACCCGGGCTACAGCCTCGAATCCTTCTCGTCGTCATGCCCACCAGCGTTCTCTGCTGGCTCAATCCTACCCCCACCAAGCACACAACCCTCTCGTTTCCGCATCTCCATGTCGTTGGAAGGCAAGGCCGAAGTTGTAGCCTCGACCATTTCACCACCGCGTCCCATTGCCGCTCCACCAACCCCTGACATGCTGCAGTCACTTCGCTCTATTCGGCGGCCGAACCTGCAGCGAAGCCACAGTGCTTCTCCTATTGTCACGCTGCCACCCATTTCAGTTCTCACCAGTTCTCTCACTAGCCACAGCCCACTACCACCTCGCCTCACTCGTGGAAGGTCAAGAGATGTGCACGCCTGGGAGTTTGCCTGTGATGCTGAGAACCGCGAGGATGCACTTACCGCACAAGCCAAGAATGAGAGCAATGGCTCCGCCATCGCAGCTATCAGCATTCTGAGGTCAACCAGCTCAACCGGCGGCAGCCCTTTTCAGCAAAGCAGCAGTGCCAAGCGCAACGCCACCATCAGCAAGGCCACTCCTCGCCCAGGTGCGGCCAAGAAGGCAAAGCTCGGTAGAGCGTCGAGCAGTGTTGCGAGGATGCAGTCAGTTCTGGGGCTTAGCGAAAAGGCCAACCATGACAACCAGCAGGTCGTCAGCAGCACTTCGGAGAAGATCAAAGTTCACGCACGGCATTCCCCATCAGGTCACGATTCTGATAAGGAGAACTGGAGCCCTGATGAAGACGGCAACCCGCGTACTCCTTATTATTCTCACGCCCAATCAATCATGGGATCCGCAACCACAGGTCGCCGCCCTCTCCCCTCTTCTGCTACAAGGTCAGAGAAGGATTATAGGAAGCATCCCCGCCGCACTCCGACAAACAACAAGACGGCCCCGAACGACCGAGCTAACACCGCGCCGGTGAAGGGCCGGGGTCAGAGACGTGATAAGCGGGCGGCCCAGGACTCTGTTTTGGAGATATTTGAGGATGAAGAGGCTGAGAACAGGAGCCCTGCTTCTTCGAGGGCTGCTCTGGACGACGAGGTGGAGAGGTTCATGAGGGGCAATGTGAGCCCGAGCAAAAAGAGCGATGTGGATGCCGTGGCTGGGTTGTTGAGTTTGAGTCAGGGGAACTGGAGATGATTGGCTTGCTCCATCACCTTCCCACTTTGTATATGATCCGGATGGGCTTTCCAAAACAAGGCGTTTATGTTGGTTTCCAGTGGTTTTGGTACTCTCTTGTCGGATCGTTAGGTTGGCATGGCTACTGGACAGGCGGATGGATTGGGGAGTTGTTGTATTTGTTTTGTGATACCTGCCCTTTTTCTGTTTTTTTTTTGGACCGCAAAGAGGGCGTGCGTGTTTCATTGGGGATTTGGAATCGCGTCTGGGTTATCGTTTTGTCTCTCCGGAGTCCGGAGGGTACACCAAGCTTTTTGTTTTGGGGCGGCTACGGATGGCTATTGTCATTTATTCATGTTACACTACATCAGCTGAAAAATAGCTGAATATGGAGGGGCTGTGGGCGGGTTTTGGGGAAAATGGACAGCGAGCACGGCGGATATGGAATAATTACTTAGTGTAATGAACAAGAACTTTTGGGAGCACTCTATTTTTGAGGGGCTGTTTCGTTGTTGACTTTTTGTGTGTGAGGTTCGAGTAGAAAGAGGAAGCTGAGAAAAAAGGGGGAAGTTTGTTTAAGCTTAAAGGGGATGGTGACTACTATGACGTATCAGAAACCGAGCTACTGGGTAAGGGGTTTTGTTTAGATTGTCGAGGGGTTGACTTTTGTGTTGGAGGGGTTATTGCCGTCGGAGAATAAAATTATATCCGAGACTTGGACTGGCTTCTGATTAATATCAGATTTGGGGGGGATGACCATATCATTTTTGATACTATCACCCCATTTGCTGCAACAATGGAAGCTGGATGGATGTTTTTGTTGATGTTTTGGAAAGCTGTTCATCCAAACTAGACGGACGCGTTAGAGCTGCATAAAGCGTTTCGTCTTCTCGCGCCTTCGGTATTCCAACACCATCACCACCACCCACTCCCATCTCATACCCACACAGTCATACACATCGCCCCCGGCAGTAGCAAACGGCTTTAGCCAAGCCCAGCCACCAACTCCAGAAAGCCCAGAAATGGCATGATATCTTCAGCGGTCCACTCCCCACACACACGCACACTGTCGAAGTACATACCCCACAATCACACTGCATTGCAGCATGTGGGGACCGCCGAACGTGGGTTTTTACTAGGAAGAAAAAACTTGCATGAACGAGAAAACAGGGTGAAATGGTAACGGTTACGTACGTGCTTGGATGGATGGGGGTTCTGTCTGCTGTTTCTCTCTTGTGACCTTTGAGAGCCAAGTCTCAGAGCTGAGGGGTTGGACTGGTTTTATTTCTTGGAAGAATGGACGTGGCCCGTTCGGACAGATGGGCGTTGTTGAAGATCTGTCTTTTGCCAGCCCGTGCCAGCGAGGCTTTTCCCTGCCTGAAGTGTGTGTGAAAAGTCACTCACCCGTCTTATGATAAATAGTTGACGATAGTAAAAATAAAAATATAAATGTTCGTAAATATGTATATATATAATGTAACTGTCAAGTCCATTCGATGCGATGCATCTCGAACAAGACATTAACAATAAAAATAAAAAGACAAAAAAAATATTGTAAACCAACTCTTTTCGAGTCCATGTCATTTGTCTCCCGAAAATTACTCCTTTCAAACGCCGTCCCCCCATTTGTTGGTGGTTTGATGATATCCAAATCCCACCCAGTCCGTGAAATGCCCCGTAGGTTGTAGTAGTCAGTCATATCATGCTTTCTCTCTCTCATAGCCAAAAAAAAAAAACACGATGTGGTATCTTTCGCACGCTTCTCGCTCGCTCTTTTATCACAATCCCAATAAACTCATTTGCCTCCTTAGAGGGCTCGCCGCACTGCTGCTCTCCTCACTAGCGTAGCAGGCAGAGTCCGTGTCGATATCCCAGCAGTCTTCTTCTTCTTCGTCCTTGGTTGCACCCGTCTCGAAAGCCTTCTGGCTGGCGGCGCGGACGTTCCATCTGAGAGTTCGTGATACGCTGTCGAACCACTCGGTGTCTGTTCGAACCACCGTGGGGAAGGGGTACTGCGAAGCCGTAATCGTAACATGGTCGCCCTGCTTGAGTTCCACACGGCCCTTGCCGTCGAAGGCGCAGTAGGCTGTTGCGCGGCTGTGACGGGGGACGGAAACCCGCAAAAGCATGGTGTCCGACAGAACCATGGGGCGGAAGGAGAGGGTGTGTGGGCAGATGGGCGTCAGGAGAATGGCGGGGATATCCGGGTGAACGAGAGAGCCGCCTGCTGAGAGCGAATAGGCCGTTGATCCTGTCAAAGATTAGAAACCTGAACAAAAAGTTTTGTCAAGTGAAAAAGACTCACCAGTAGGGGTGGAGAAGATGCAACCATCCGCCTGGACCACGGTCAAAAGCTCATTGTCGCCGTACAGCTCCAGGTTGGAAACATATGGTGACGGCCCTCTGTCAATGACGAGCTCATTGAGCACCTCGAATTGCTCGCCCTCCTCCATGTCAACGGATCCGTCCCTGTCCCTATACACGGTGCAGGTAAAGCGCATCCGTAGGTTGACGCGCATTCCAGCCTCGCCCATAATCCGGTTAAGGTGCTCCTTGTACTTTTCGAATTCAAAGGTCGTCAAGAAACCCAGACTGCCCAAGCTGAAGGACAAAACGGGTGGCACAACACGCTGGAAGAGCCATGATGTGAAGAGAACGGTTCCATCACCACCAAGGGTCAGAACAAGATCAAACTTCTCAGGCTGGCTCCAGCAAAGATCAGGGGTCCAGTACCGGAGCATGTCGTTGAATTTCTCGTTCTCTGCAACAATGGAGGGCGCATCGAAACGCTTGGCGTGGCGGAGTTTGGCGTCCACATAGACATTTACTCCCACATCAGCACCATACCTGGGGGTCCGAAGCAGCCACTGGGTAAGCTCGCGGGTGAGGAGGACCAGCTGGTTATCGCGGGCCTTGGTAACAATCATGACACTTCGCACAGCACGCCTGATGGGCCGACGCTGCAGTTGCTTGGATACCTCCCGGACACCAGTGGCGGTTTGCACCAGGCGAGAATGCGACATGTACTCGTCGTTCTTGATCTCCTCGAGAACCTTCTCAAAGTCGACGGCGTCGTCGAAGCGGTTGTGGTAAAAGCATGGCGACTGTAGCGAAGGGAAGGCGGTTGCGGGAGTCATGTACTGGCTGGCGGTGCTGCGAGCGCTCTGCTGAGCAGCCAGTCCGTTGAGCGCATCGCAAAGCTGCTGGGAGGAAGAAGAAGTGGGCCGGTTGTCGGCCATGGTGTGAGCGGAAAGCATGCCGGTGAGTGAAAGGGGCTCAGGTCTGTTGTGTCGAGCCACCGAGGCCAATGCTTTCATAATAGTCTGTCTCGGAACAGCCTCGATCGAGAGTGCGTTCTTGCGGTGGCCGCGAGCTGGTGCTGGGGGAGAAGTGAGGCGGTTTCCCTGCCCATGCAGGGGATCGGAATCGGTAGTCACCGAGGAGCCTAGAGCAGGCAGAGCGGATTTGGGAGGGTTCGCGAGGTCAGCATGTCGGACGGGAGGGTTGGAGTCTTGAGTCTGGGGGAGGACGGCGCTTGGGGGGGACGACATCAAGCCAAAAGAAATATTGGGCCCCGTCGCTCGGTCGGAGATGGCGGACTCGCCCTTATTAACTCCATCCGACGGCCGCTGCAGCGAAGGAAAAGAAGGCTCAGCGGGGTGAGGGTGACTAAGGGCAGGGTGAATCGCGGTAGGCGAAGAAATTGGGCCGGACATGGTCGCTGGGCGGTGGGGTTCGTCTATTTTCGGCCCGTCCACTGTTGTGCAAAGTCCCTGCAAACGACTTTTGGGTTTGCGATGTGTGCTAGAGCGTAGGCACTAGTAGGGGCACTTTAGCCAGGTGCTGGTACCACCAATCGAGACGATGTGCGCCGGGCACCCCGCGGATCAACAGCTTGGGATTTTCGTCTGGCGGCGACGGAACCTTTTCCTGCGGTGCGCGAAGACCGGATCTCACAGAAACCCAGTGTAACACGCCGTGCTGCAGCGGGGATGCAACCGATGCAGCTATGCAGGAGAGAAACCCGGGGGGAACTGTCGTTCGACGTCACAGGACGCAAGAGACCGGAGTCAAAAGTGGGATGCTGTCTGGGCAGTTGTCAATTGCTTGACAATCAGGCGTGGCCAGTTCGGCTTCAGTCCGAGCAATCAAATCAATGAGCCGGACGGACAAGAGGCACAAGGCACAACAACAATCGAGTAACCTGTGGGAGGCAGAGAGGGTGTGTCAGCAGGTCCGGGCAGATGGGTTGCATTTGTTGTTATCCCTTCTCTTTCTTTGACCCTCGTCCGAAGTCGAGGTGGTCTCTCCATCTGGAACACGCCTCAGCCAGGGAATCCATTGCGGCACTGTTGTCTGTGCTGGGGCATCACAAGGACCACACCACCTTCTTCTCTTCGTTGACCACCGGATCAACAGGGTCCTCAACCGCATTGTGAGGGGGTCTCACCTTCAGGGTCTTGTAAATCCCCCACTTTCGGCAGTCAGTGTCCGTGTCTCCTCAGCGGATCTGACCTGTAAATGTCTTGGAAGCGTGGAAGCGTTGCGGTGTCGGGACGCTGTGCAGAGCGGGGAGTCTTTTCAACGGAGGGGCTGGTGGCGGGTGCGGCGGGGTCAACTAGGACGAGGCCCGCGGTTGGCGGTTTCGAAGGTGCTTGTGGCGTTGGTGTCCCCGTTGAATGTAGGCGATTGGTGGTGATATGGCCTGCCAACTGGTGATCCAAGTGTAAATTCGCCGTCCACGTGAACTGTGGTCTCTTCAAAAGGGTGATATCTTCTTTTCGATCGAGTCCAACAGACGGTCACCGGTCTGATCTGATCTGATCTACCTTTAACTTGTGAAAGTCGGGAATAGCTGGGCAGGTAGGTGTGCCGAGTTCGAAGTCAATGCACGAGATACCAGTGTGACGCTTGCAGAGAACTCGCAGAGCTCAGCGCTTCAGTGTTGATGCTCACGGAGCTAGAGAAGGGGCGAAGAGGGACGGGACGGTTGGGTCATCAATATGAGGACTGAAGACCAGAGAGAGGAAACAAGCCCACGACAAACTCGTCGATGGTTTATAATATGTCCCTGACTGTTTGGACAGGCCCCAGGATGGGAGATGGGATGGCGTGGCAGGGGGAAGATCGAGAGCTTCGTCGAGGAATCGGGGGTGCAGCTGAAGATCTTCTGAAGCTTCATGACAGGGGTTTTGGTGGGGTTTTGGTACATTTCAGGAGGTACCTCTGCCACTCTGGGGTCGTTGTTAGCCTCAGTTGGAGAAAGTACGTACCACTTACACTACCATCACCACCACCAAAAAGAACTTCGATAATGCGAGAGAAGGCGCATATCACAGGCACGGTCGAGAAGTTTTGGGCAATCCAACCACTCGTATCGTTTGTTGCTGGCGGTAGCTGTGATGCTGTTGTCTTCTGCAGTTTCGAGAGACGCTGTCAAGCCAAAAAGTGCAATTCAAGAGGTGCCACAAACTCATTCAACGCCAGGTCCATGTTTACATTCAAAATGGGAACCACGGAGGGAGAGATCATAGGCTGACACATACGCCGAAGCGCTGTAAGCGTAAGCACCCACTTGAGACTCGCAGGCGGATAGCACGGCAGTACGGAGCGTAGCTGCCAGAAGGTCTCGAGCGTGAGAGTCTCATCATGCCTCTGCGATGCTGGGCTGTTCAGGAGGCGAGAAGCCAGGGGAATGTTACCGCAGTAGTGGTGCGGCAGCAAAACATCCCCCTGACGGCACGGCTTCCCGTCACTGGTAACCCTGGGGAACCTCTGGTTCGGCCCAACCGGTGCTGGAGATCCTTCTGCAACGGTCCGCTGAAGCGTCCAAGCAGCCGCATAACAATCCACCATCTCCTGGTGCGAATCCTGCGTTGTTGGAATGTTTGGAAACTTTGACAACGAATAAGAGCGGGACATGCTCGCCGTGCTCGTCTTGACAGCATCTACTGGCCCACAGCCTTGACGCATCCATCACCCTCCAAGCGCACATCAAGCAGGGGCCGCCAGCCGTCTTCTTGTTGGATACCTACGGCTGGGGAGCGCCGTGAGCGTCCGGACGGAGCATGAATCGCGAACGACAAGAGACACAAGGCGTTTAGCTCGGTCTCAATGTCATCCAGTGGTCCACCTGCAAAGCCCCTCTACAGGCGTCCAGCGCGCTGCGACTGTGAGAAAGCCCCCAAATAAAGAGCCCGAGGAGCCAGCATACGCCCGGTTCTGACGTTCCATTCTCAAGACCCTCCCGAGCCTCCCAAGCAGAAGCCGCCGTCAGGTGGTGGTGAGAATGGCGGTGTCAGGGGTTCTGGGTTAGGGGGTGCTGAAACAAAGGCCCCGGCCCGCTAACGGGCCAATCCCCAAACATGGCCGTGCGGGTGGACCCACCAAATGTGTTTGAGACGTCAACTCAGGGCTTCCATCACAAAAAAGAATAAGGGGAGAGATATCGAAAGATGGTCAAAACCCCAGCAAGGGGGTAGATTGTTTTTTTGGAGATGTTTTTCCAACACCAGATGCCGTGGCTAACTGCCGACCTTTGAATTGTAGTCGCCTAGCCGCGCAACACTTCAGGCTGTCTCTTGTGAGCCATGCATTCCTTCCATACCTCCTATGCCATCTCTCCGCGTCCAACTTCATGATCCCGCACACAGAACCCGTCGTTACGTCGTGAAGCTGCTGACCTGTGCTGATATTCGCATGCCGAGTGATCGCGCGGCTCGGTTGAGGAGCTCATCATCTACCATCCCACAAGTATTCTCTCTCTATGCAGCGCTGAATCTTGAACCGCGGGCCGCGTTGCTTCTTTGGATGTCCTGAACGCCGCCTCACTTCCAATGGAGATCAGATGCCACCTTGTTCTCCATGGTAGACCGCAAGAAGTGGCGCAGATCCGGGCCGTTGGTGTGTTCGTCGTCGAGCACCATTTCCATCCCTTCCTTGGTCGGTACTGGGCGACAACATACGTCCTTGGCCGTTTCGTAGACATCATCCCATTCCTTGACAGTAAAGTCTCCTTCACTCTCAGCAAGCAACAGCTCATCGTGAGACGTAAAAGCCAGCACATGGACAGACTGGGCAATCTCGACATCTCGTGGTGATGGATCAACCACACTTCTCTTGGTACCATCCTGGGGAACAATAGCAACAGCCGTCGCCGTCGCCGTTGCCCTGATGGGTACACCTGCCGACAAGAGCGCGAGAACAGCTGTTTGAAACAGGGCTGGCATGATGGAAAAGTTCTGCCACAGAGGTCAGTATGTCGAGAGAACCGGCACGTGAGCAAGACGAAGTCGTTCTTACCAGGCTGGCCTGAACAAGCTTGGTGTTCACATAGTCGTTTTCTGGCGAGTCTTCGACTTGGAGGACAATCTGGATGAGAGAGCGAGGGAAGTTCTTGACGAGAATGATCTGTGAGAGTGAGGATTGGAGAATGGACTCGAGGTGACGTTCTCTTGTGCCTATATAGGAAAGTTCATGGTGAGAAAATGATGGAGGGGTAGTAGGAGTGCGGAGGGGTCCTCACCTCCGACCCCTGCGGCCGGTCGTACGATAACGTCAACGTGTGCCTCATAGGGATGCTCATCTCTTCGCTGAGCTTCGATGGGTCCGTTGACTGAGGCCGTGACTGTGTATCCGGCATGTGAATATTTTGCAGACCCGTCGGCTCTTGGGAGCACACCGAGAGCGGCTGCCGGGGCTGTCGATGTTGTTGATACTGTCATTTTATGTCTGGTCAAGAACTAGACAAGGTTACGATGATAGCAGGCGGTGATCTTGTTTCCTTCGTCTGTTTGTAGTGAAAGTTTTCCAAGGCTGCCAATGAGAAACGGTCGTTGATTGGATTCGCAGCGCAGTGATTTCGTGGGATGAGCGGCACTTCCCCAGTAAAAACTGCCCCGCATTTTAGTGCTTGCAGGGGTCAAAGATTGGGCTTGCAACCTCAACGGCTGCACATCAGTCAATCTGAGCCTTGCCTCGTTCAACTACGAAACTCACTTTCATCAGATATCACTGAAAGGATTTTGGCACTCATAATTCTGGCACCACATTTATCAACTAGGGAGCAGTGTCAAACAGAAACAGCAAAGGTCATGTCATCTTCAACCCCACCAGCTGGAGCAGCCGTTGGAACCGGACCCCAGCCGGAGTCGACGTCAACCTCCGGGAAGCCAAGCCCGGGCCCGAATCCGGCGCCTAGCATCCCTAACCTCCTGGCCCGTAAACCAAAACTGGACGAGGCTCGCCGGCGCCGGCAACCCGAAGCCGGCAGTCTCCAACCCGTGCCGGAAACCCCGCCTCTACCTCCTCTACCAGACTTGTCAACTGTCAAATTCCAGACACCCACTCGCCGCATCCTCACTCCCCAAGATCACAAGCTGTTCCTCGCCTCCCCAACTTACACGTTGGTGGTCTCCTTCATCTTCCACCTCTCCGAATCCGTAGCCGACAAACCCATTTCATCTGTCTCTGCTTCCACCGTCACACCCACCGTCCAAGCCCTCCTGGACATCCTCACCGAGATCGAAGAGCTCTGCCGTTCCACCCCCCCAGACGACACCACCGGCTCCCGCTTCGGCAACAAAACCTTCCGCACCTTTCTCGATAAAGTCAAATCCCGCACCCCTCACTTCCTCTCCCTCCTCAACCTCCCACCCCAACACGCCAACGACGCCAGCCCCGAACTCTCCACCTACCTCCACCACTCCTTCGGCAACGCAACAAGGATAGACTACGGCTCCGGCCACGAGCTCAACTTCTTCCTCTTCCTCCTCTGCCTCCGCCTCCTCTCCCTCCTCCCAGAACCCACATTTCCCTCCCTGGTCCTCCTCGTCTTCCCAAAGTACCTCGAGCTCATGCGCCTCGTCCAGCTAACCTACTACCTCGAACCCGCCGGCTCCCACGGCGTCTGGGGCCTAGACGACTACCAATTCCTCCCCTTCCTCTTTGGCGCCTCCCAGCTCCTCCACCACGACTTCCTCACCCCCAAATCCATCCACCAGACTTTGTCCCTCGAACAATTCGGCCCGGAATACCTCTACCACAACCAAGTAGCCTTTGTCAACTCGACCAAGACGGTCCAAGGGTTGAGGTGGCACTCCCCCATGCTGGATGACATTTCTGCCGCGAAATCCTGGACAAAGATTGAGGGCGGGATGAGAAAGATGTTTGTGAATGAGGTGCTGGGCAAGTTACCGGTGATGCAGCACTTTTTGTTTGGGGGGTTGATCCCGGCGACGGAGGAGATGGGGAAGCTGGCTGAGGAGCAGCCTGAGTTGACAGAGGAGGAGATTGAGAATGGGAAGCTGGTGATTTTTGATGATACAGAGGGCAAGAGGCATGTGCATCAGCAGGCGGTCGGGTGGGGGGATTGCTGCGGAATCAAGGTGCCGAGCTCGCTGGCGGCGGCGGAGGAGATGAGGAAACGGGGGGTGATGGGTGGGGGGCAGTTGAGGAGGATACCTTTTGATTAGGTTTAGAAGGACGAGGTGGGAAATATGTATTTTAACGTCTCAGGGCATCTAGGACCGGTTATGAGAGTCGGTCGGAATAGACAAAAGTATATGCTTTAAGCATCTTGACATTATACTGATACAAAAATAAAAACCGTTCATTTCTCAACTCTTGGTGTTTCTGCCATAAAACAAGTTCACCCGCCCATAAGTAGTACCCCTATGCCCCCAAAAGTCCAGAGTGTACGTTACAAAAACTGACCTCCCCTTCCTTTTGCCCCCCCCCCCCCGCCGCTCACGTGCCCCCATCATCTGTTTTACGCCCGCTAAATCGTCTCCCACCCCCCATTATTGATATCCGCCTCCAGCTTCCTCGCGATATAACTCGGCACCCCGTGCCCCAACCACAACCCCCTCAGCATGCTATCATACCTCTTCTGATGCAAAAACAGCTGCCGCCCAAACCTCAGCCCAAAGTCCACCTCGCCATACCGGTCGATATACGGCGCGTGGCTGAAGCTGCCCGACTTCCTAAACAGGTACAAGACGCAGCACTTGCGGATATTGATAAACAGCCCGATATTCTTTTGGCACCTAATTTCCCCCTTTGGTCAGCATCACTCACTCATTGTACAATGTTTGGAAGAGAGAAAAACAAACCTCCACATATGCTGCTGTGCCCCCCCAACCTTGCTGTTCTTCCTCCCCTCCTTGACATCCTTCGCACAGCACACCGCCTGCCCGCAAAAAATCTCCCCGCAAAACAGACAAATCGTCGGGTCCGTAATGTCCTTCCCCTTTGTCGGACATTTCCTGCGCGTGCACTCCTCGATCAAAAGGTCATAATTCTTTGGCAAGCCCACCAGCTCAAAAATGCCAGGGTGGCTCACCAGCGCCGCCGTCGACAGCCCTTCCTCGTCCTCCGAGTTGGGCGCAACAACACTGTGCTTGATCCACCCCTCAACCAAGTACTTCGTCGCCGGAACCGGCCACCCGCTTGCCGGCCCGTCTTCAACACTAAAAGCGCTGAGCATCTCGTCAAAGCTAGGCAGGCGGAGCATTTCAGTCAGTCTCTCCAGCTCCGACAGTTCCGGCTGGGGCGAGACCCTCGAGTTGAAATCAACTCCAAACTTGACGTGCAGCAGCAGGACGCACTTTCTCAAAAAGGTCAAGGCGTACTTCTTGACAAACGTGTACATGCCCTCCAGGGTGTCCAAACCCTCCTGGGAGAACCCCCCGTTGGTGAAGTCTTCCCTGGACAAACCTCCTTGCGCCTCGGCCGCGACGTCAAAGTGGAAGATGAGGTCGCAAAACTCGACAAACCTCGCCAGGGAGGGGGACATGGTCTGCTTGCTGCGCGTGATGTGCTGGAACCACTGGTAAAAGGGCATGTTACGCGCCATTTGGTACGTCACCTTGACAATCTCGGCCAGGTAGCACAAGCGGACGAGGTGGGCGATTTCAAAGTGCTGCGCGTGGGCTACGCCAAAGACGCTTTCACAAAGAAAGACGAAGAGGTCTTGTCTGAGGAGCGCGGGATAATCCGCCAGGGGGGTGCGTGTGTGCTCCGTTTCTTGGTCGGTGTACTGTCTGATGAAGAGTTGGCAGTGCTGGCGTTCACTGTCGGCACGATACTCGGTGTCGATGCGGTTTTCTCCATTCTCCTTCAAGCCACCGACGGCGATAAACGAGGTGACCGTCTCGCTGAGGATACGCAGCTGAGTGAGGACCTGCTCCGGGATTCTTTCCAAAAACGTCTGACCGTATTCGGCCTCAACTCCACGCTGTTGAATTTCCACGGCAGAAATCGAGAACCCTACCGAGCGTGCGAGCACATCACTAGAAAAGAGCTCAGCACTGTCGGCCTCGGGAAGATTGTCCTGGTGGCGCGAGCGAAGACCGTTCTTCTTCAGGCTGTCTCTAAGCCGACGGTAGACGTTGACCAACTCTCGCATGCTGCTGTGAGCCTCAGGGGTGGCACCTCGACTACCACTGGTCTCTGGGGCAGAAACGATACTGAACGTCTCGCTATAAGGGCTTGCCGTCGGCAACGACGAAGCACCCACATGAACCCAGGCATCGTCCAACAGCTGCGCCGATTTCTCTGCCAGGTTGGTGACCATGTACGTCTGTGTGTACGCTGCAAACGCGTCTTGGACACCATCAGGAGGCCGAGCAGCCCCGAGCGAATAGTACGCCGAGTGCAGTTGCTCGTTAAGGAAATCAGAAAAGGACTTCTCGGGCACCAACGGACCAGGATACGACTCTTCCTGTCCCTTCCAAATAATAGGAAGAAACGCATTGCCGAGAGCCTTGCACAAAGGACACACAAATTCCAACCTGTTGGTGTCTTCAGGTGGGTGCCGTGCAATCTGCTGATTATGTCGACGAATGATGGAATCATAGTAGGCCTCGAAACAGCCATAGTGCATAATGTGGCCACAACCAATAGCTACCGGACCAGGCCGGGACAGATTCGGTGGGAACCCCTTCCCAATGCACTGCCGCTCTGCCTCAAAGACCTCGCCGTGCTGATCCACCTTTTGAACCTTGTGTCTGTTCTCACCGGCAACACCAAACGGACGAATATCCTCCACTGACCGATCAAGGTTGTCAGGCGTGTTGAAAGCCTCCCTCACAAAGTCAGGATCCTGGAGATCAGTCTGCCTCAGGATGTTGCTCTGTGTGAAATACGCAAACGTGCCATACAACCGCCGGTCATCCGTCTCTTCCTGGCACAAGATGCAAGTTCCTGCTGGGTATTTCCAGAACTTGCGGTGCTCCTGAGCCGGCGGAAGACGCTCATCTTCCTCGAGCTCATCCACCTCTCCCCAGTCAATATCCTGCTGGTTCTCCATGAAGCTCTTCTGCTGAGCCTGAAATTGCGCCATGACTCGACGCTGTCGGTCCAGCGCCGCCTTCTTCTTGCGCTCCCGCTCCTCGTCAGCTGACGCGGCTGCAGGCGACGATGTGTTCATGCGGTCCAGCGACAGACCGAGACGGTCACAGGCAAATTCAAAGCCCCGTGGGCGCTTTTGGCGCATCCTCCGGAGCACCAACTCGATCTTCAGATGACATCCCTTGTACTCCTCCTTGGACGACATCATGTTCAGGAGAGACACGATTGTCTTTGACTGTGGTGCCTCGGGAACGAAATGGCGAGCTTGCTGATTCAGGGCAATGCTGATAAACGAAGGCTGCTCTGGCTCCTGCTCGTCATCCGTGACATTGTCCTCGGCGATGGCAATCAGGACGAGGTGCAGAAGAACCTGCAAGAAGGATTCCACTCGAGTGGCAGGAACTCCTGGTGTTAATTTCGAGTATGTGAGAGCATACAGCAGCGAGTAATAGACAATCTGCGCAAACATCCCGGTGCTGGTGAATTTGCCCAGTCCGGCAAACACACCCGACGTGACAGGGCGAGGCTTGGGTTCGTAGACAACATCTTCAATGGGCTTGCCAGTCTTCTTGGCAATCCACTTGCGCCAGGCCATCTCCGCCTCCTCTCGTTGGTTCTTGTTGTAGTGGGCGATGTATGGATCAACCTCTTCGACATGCTGTGGTTTGAGTTCAAAGAGTCCAACGTCAGTCAGCCCCTCGGGAGATTTGAAGGTGGCCATCTCATCCAGTATCCGGTGGAAGTCTTCTTGCTCCTGGAACTTATCAGGAAGCTTTGCGCAAATATCCGAGAATGAGAGCGGCTTGAAGCACAGAACGTGAGTCAGATCCCTGCGCATGGAAGCGATTTGAGGGTTCTTCTCTTCATCATTGCGGACCAGAGACGTCTTGTCGCTGAGCAGAACGATGAGAAGATGGATCATGTCCTCCACGACATCCAGATGCTGACCATCGTCTTGACTCTTGGTCTTTTGTTCAAAGATGCCCTTGACCCACTTCTCCATGCCGAACCGATCGATGATAGACGCCAGCACGCGGCTGGGATCACAAACCACCAAGGCCGTCTGCAACAAGAAGATATCGCGGTGGTGGGACACATCTCTCTGACCAACACCGCGGTATGTTCCAGCTTGGTGACGCAAGCTCAACCCGTTCCTGACCCACATGCCCGCCTTCATCTGAGCAAGCCACGCGCACACTCGTAGCGGGTAGTCAAAGGCAGCCATGAGGTAGTCCTCGGGAGTAAACTCTCGCTTTGGCCACACCTTCTTGCCCATGGAGCGAGGCTTCATAGTAAGCTCCTGCGTGGTGAAAGTCAAGAGTGCCCTGAGCTGTTCCACCGGCATAGCCTTGCCACATTCGATCAACCAAGACAGAGTGTAGTGAAGCGCATGGTGGAAACTTATCGGCTGCTCCTCAACAACAAACTTGACCACCTCAATCTCGTTATGTGTCGGGTCAAACTCAAAGTCGCTGAGTGTCTTGAACCGAATTTCATCCTTGATCTCCGATCCGCTGAACCGGCTGCGTTCAGCTCCAATGGAGTTGACAATGACCGACTTGGCCGCGAGGCGAATAGCTTTCTCCACGTGGACAAACTCCTGCTCACTGACATTCCGGAAAGACTCGGCAAACTGCCGGCATAGCCTGTTGATTTCACGAGTGACCAGCGAAGCGCTGATCCAGCTGTCCGTCTCGTATTCGACGTGCTCACCCACCGCCCTGACGTTAGGACAGATGCCTTGGTGCAGTTTGACGAGGTCCAAGAACTGCATCATGTACCGCTCCTCTGTCCGAAGGCGCTCTTGGACGTTGGGGGAGCCAAAGAGATACTTGAGATCAAGGAAGAAATGATACATTCTGCGGTTGGTGACGGAACCAGTGTCGAAGGCCAAGACAGCGCTGGAGTCCACATCCCAGGGGTGCCCGACTTGCCGAGTCGTCAGGAAGGTGTATAAGATGGCCATCAAGTTTGTCAAGAAGTTGCCACGCTCCACGACCTCGGCCGTGATGGATGGGGTGGTCAGCATTTGTAAGGATATGTTGATGATGGAATGGTCCGGCTCGCGGTCGCCGATGAGATACAACTGCGCAAGCGTGGTGTAGAGTCCGGCGAACCGGAGACCCAGGATGCGCTTAAACTCGGGAATTGTGACCACAGTCGAGATGTACAAGGATCGCAGGTCATTCCGAACCTTCTTCCACATCCTGAGGTCGAACAGAATCATCCAGTCCAGCCGCACCCTCTCAAACAGGTCCTCGGCAACCGGGATTCCTTCTTCTTCCACATAGCCTGTGGGAGTGGCAAGCCAGTATGAACCGGGTGCTGGGGCTGACTCTCCGGTTTTGTTGTTGCCGGGTGTCTTGGGTATGTCGAGACGAGGCTTGAAAGACACCGTAGGAGCAATAAGCGGCTCTGCGGTATCAGAATCCGAAGGAGTGAGCTCCCTTTCCCGAGCAGTTCGTCTGGGAGCTGGAACTGGAGGAGGCGGTGGCGGTGGTGGCGGATAGCCAGCAGCTGTAGCTTCATCATCTTCTAAAGCGTTGTCTTGACGCCAGTCTTGCATGGGAATATCGCCGCCCTCTGTCCTGGTATCGATCATCATGACATCGCCGTCGTCATCCCCGTTCTCTTCCATATCACTCCCAAGGGCGTGCTCATATTCCTCCTCGTCGATATCAATTCCGTCGTCATCATCATCAGAATCGTCTATGGGCTCTCCCACACGGGCGGCAGCTCGAGCTTGCACCATGATTCTTATTTGCTGGGCATAGAACTCGTCCTCCTCAAAGTATTGGCGTTCAGTCATCTCCTCGTCATCCATGCCGTCCTGTCCAACATTGGCGTGTGTAGCTCGACTTCCTCGGCGCCATGGTTTGAGCATCTCCTCACAAACAACTTGCCTAAGAATGTTGTGGTCGTTGCCGACGCTGCATCCCGAGATGTCTCTTAGCCAATCCACCATCGTGCTGACCATCTGCTCTCGGAACGTGTCTCGAGCTGAGCGAATTGTGACAGTGACCCTGATCCTTTCCAAAACCTCGGCAACTTCTATGAGTTTTTCGATACTTTGGTCGTACATCAACAGACTTCTACCGATGCCGTCCGTCTCGTAGGCCTTTGCGAGGCCGGTTGCCAGCGTCGTCCCGCATGCTCTCGCCACCTGGTCTTGAACGTCTGCAACCGTATGCTTTTCGTCGTTCCAAAGAAGTACACACCATTCTTCTGGCCTCGTTGTGTCCCCGCCGCAGTATGTTGAGGATAATCTAGAGTTTACCTCGTCTCTCTCGATCGACTCGACCGTCTTTGTTTGCCGGAGCTGCTCAGGGGAGCACGAGATGACATCGCACATGTAGTCAAAGACGCGGCCGATCGTCATTCGGATGCTGGCGAGGAGGTCCTCCGGCGCTCCAGTGTTTGCTTTCCCCTTCCCCTTATCCTCCCCCTCCCACACCGAGTGTATCGTGCAAAACACGGGCCTCTTCCACGCCTCTGCATCTCCACAGTCACAACACCCACTGTTTCCAGGCGAGATGTTGATCCTAACCATGTGCCCCGTATGGTCCGTCGCATCGAAGCATTTGCTGCAGAGGCAGCAGGTATCGTCAGCGCTGCATGTCCGGCATGCGTACGAGGCCTCGCCCTGTTTGAAAATGTGTCCGCAAGCCTTGCCGCGCGCAGCCTCGGTGTACTCTGCGCCTTCGATGGCGCCCTGGGCGTCTCGCATTTTGAGGGTCCCGTCAGGTCGGGTTGGGCCACCGGTGGGGAAGAAAAGCTCCATGTAGTCGTCCCGACCGCCAGCCATGGACCAGAAAAGGTCCTTGAGCAGATCTCGGGCGGCATCCTCAGAGTATCGACACCGGTGGCGGTAGGGCAAGTTTCGCAGCACCTGGCAGAGCTGCTGCTCTTGCGTCGACATCATGTCGGCCATGATCGGTGAGCCGCCTTTTGCGTTTGTGACGTCAACTCTTATTTCAGGTCGGATACGGTGGTGGGCATCGAGTAAAAGAGGTGGATTGATTGTATAGACGTGTACTGGTGTGTTTTGCGCCGTTGCTGAATCTCGAAATGGGGCCAACAACTAACGGTGGTTTGTTGTCTTATCGGTGGTGGTTGATAGAGGGCTGCTCCCAATAAGTGAATGGAGGGGAAATCGTGGGGTTCCAAACGTGGTAGATCGAAGTCGGTCAGGGGTGGCGTGCTGGGGCGTCACCAATTTCCAAGGTCCAGGCGGTTCAGCTGTCTCGGCGCTTGGGTGCAGTGTTTGCATGCACGACTATCACAAAGGAATTTGGTTGTTGGTGTAAGCGGCTTAGTTGGGCTGTCCTCTTGGATTCTTAAAAGAGTGCTCTAGTGATGCTCCAAGTTTTAAAGACTTTAAAAGCTTGAGCATTACCAAAAGTGGATTATTGTATCACCCACTGGGTATCACAGAGAGATCCGTTCCACCGAAGCATGATTAGGTACTTAGAGATATGTTTGGACGGAGCATTATCTCATACATGGCACAACTATTAAGTCATACCCAATCCCTGAAGCTCCCGAGTTCATCCCACTACCTCCCCTAATCACCGTGACCTGCCAGAGCCAGCTTTCAGAGATGATGCACCATTGCAATCGCCAAGCAATGTTCTATTCCAGGTTCCTCTACAGCCGTCTCCGGTCTAGAATTATACAAGGTCGGGGCCCCTCCTCATTTTCCTGCCTCGACTAACCGCTCCTCGTTTGGGTCCATGCGGTGGTGTGTGTGGTTTCCTTCGTCTGCCATCCTTTACTCGTCGTCCTCAGACTCGGCGTACTTGTGGCGGATGTCCTTCCATTGGCGCTGTTCCTCTCAGTCAGCATTTCCCTTCCCTCATTCTGAATAGTGTGGCATGTCGACGTACCCCCCGGTTGTGGTGGTCCCAGACCTTGTTCATGACAGTGTCGTAGCCCCTGTTGACATGTTCAGCATGGTTGTTCTTTGCGCGGGTAGGCGTTCTTGTCTAATCGGCGGCATACATGTTGAACGCAAAGGCACCGGCAAAGACGGCACCAAGCATGGTGGCGTTGTTGCGGAAGATGGCGCTATAGCTGGGTTAGTATCGGTAGTCGTCGGCTCCGGCGTGTCTCTCTCTCCCGGACGGGTAGGGCAGGACTTGCTTGTAAATGGCAGACTGGGAGCATCGCGCACATGGTCAGCACTGAGTTGTTCATTTCTCTTGGTACGGGGGCAGCTCTCACCATTTTGTCGGTTCTCGAGGCGACTACCTGGGTCAATTGAAAGACTCGGGTTCCGGGGTTGACGTCGGGAAGGTGGATGCGAGATCGCGAAGCTGGTCAAGGCCGGGTGTTTCGATGCGATTGAGCAAGCAAAACTGACTGACCACTGAATGGAAGCCGGAAACACCGCACGGAACTATCCGGCTGCCTTCTGATTGGCCAAAGCTGTCTTCCCAGGCTTGACAGGGCAGAAAGCTTGGCGGGGACTGAACCCCGCCAAACATTTATTGCTGGAGCAGAGAGCGCAGAGAGCAACATGGCGTCTTTCATCCACATCTGACAACTCGACCGTTTCTCGCAACTCATGCAACGGTACTGCCACGCCGGTGTGCAGCAGGTGACGGGCCTCGTCAACCTTTTTCCCGCCGAGACTTATTCTGAGTGAACTGGATCCGGCCGTTTCTGTTTCTTCCATCACATTGTCGCCCATCAGCTTCATCAGATCAAACCCCACCTCCACAACCATGCCATCCCAACCCACCAAATCCGGTATCGTGACCGACGAGGCCAGCGGCGAGCGCCACATCCCCGAGTCCGTCCGTGCCGATGGTAGCACAAGAAAAGCAATCAAGATCCGCCCCGGCTACCGCCCTCCCGAGGATATCGAAGTCTACAAGAACCCCGCCGCCGAGAGCTTTCGCACGCGCGGCAAGGGCCCCCCTCCCGGCTCGGAAGGCCTGAAGGACGAACCAAAGCCTGCTGCGTCCGCCTCTGCGAATAAGAACGCTAAGCGACGTGAGGCGGCCCGCAACAAGGCTCAAGCTGCGGAGGCTGCCGGTGCTTCGGCGAAGGCCCCCGAGAAGGCCCCCGAGAAGGCCCCCGAGCCTGTAGTGGAAGAGCTCGACTCCGAGGTGGAGAAGGCGAAGAAGGCCCGCAACCTCAAGAAGAAGCTCAGGCAGGTGAAGAGTCTTCAAGAGAAGCAGGAGGAAGGTGCTGCTCTCTTGCCTGAGCAATTGGCGAAGGTCCTCAAGATTAACGAGCTTATTCGCGAGCTTGATGCTTTGGGCTTTGACTCTGAAGGAGAGCCCAAGAACAAGGAGGCCGATCCCACCAAGGACAAGACCGCCGACGACTGAGACCCCTACCACTGGGACTACGGTTATCAGAAACTCATATCCGGCTCAGTGTTGGATCACGACTAGCTTTTGCAGGCCCGGCCGACATATCACATCAGCAAACTCGGCCAGTTGGCAACGAATCACTTGGAACCAGGAGGTGGAATCCAATTCGGCCAGTTGGAAGACCTGAGATGCAAACGATCACAGTTTTATGTGGTCCTGTGCCATATTTATTATTCTGGCACATATCTACGCCTCGAGCGACTTGACAACAAGTCAGTTGGGAGGACATATAAAGGAGTGGCATGAGCTTTTAGGGGCTTCTCAACCTTACGATGAAGTTCCCATAATCAAAGGAGCAGGCCAAGCCGAAGTAAAGATATGGAGGGGCTAGCATCAAGCAATGTTGGATAAAAGCTGGGGTATCAACGGTCTATACAGTTTTACATAATGTACATTGATATACAAAAACCTTTGCCTGCTTCTCAGGCAGGAGATTTAATCGACCCCTCCACAGTAGGAGGCTCAGGCTCATATGTCCTCGGGATCAAGTGCTCAGCCATCTTGATCGCCCCTTCCATGTCCCCCTTGTGGAACTGGAACAATCCCTGAATGGCCGCCGTAGACGTGTGTCTTTTAGGAACAGCAGGATCTTTCTGGTCGCCACCAAACAGCCCCAACCCATCCAATCTCTCCAAGAACCTTTCCCTGCCCTTGTGGTCAGTGTCAACATCCCCATAGTACCTATCCCACATTTGACCGGCCTGATACCGCGACGCCTCCCCAATCCTCACCATCATGTCCACTCTCCCCGGTCTGATCAGCGCCGGATCAAGCTTGTCAATGTGGTTCGTCGTTAAAAACGCTATCCTATCCTCGCCCGCCGCCAAGCCGTCCAGAGCGTTCAACAACCCAGAAGCAGTAACACTCCTCCCAGAATACCCATCCGGATCCCTCTGCCGCCTATTCACCAACGCAGCATCCACATCCTCCAACAACAAGATACTCTTCTCGGGCAACTGCGTCAACAGCTGCGCCAGCAAATCATCCGTCATGCCCATCTCGGACAAATTAATCATGGCAACCGAGTAATCCAGCTCTCCCGCCAGCGCCTGGATAAAACTCGTCTTTCCCGTCCCCGGCGGGCCATAAAGCAGATATCCGCGCCGATAGGGGACACCCCGCTCCGTGTACCACTCCTGAGCAGCCATAAACTCCTTCACATCCGCCACCAAGCTTTCCTTCACCCCCTCGTCGAGAATGACGCTCCCGAGAGGGCGTTTGAGTCTTGGCTTCCCAAGCACGGTCCACTGCATGTTGCGGGCCGTGTAGACAACTGTCTTGCCCTGCTGGAAAGACTGCGCCAGCTCGTGAGCCTGGGTGAAGACCTCGGCCAGGACATGGCGGTGCATCCAGAGGAGGGTAAGCGTCAACGTCTCGTGGGGCTCGCCCGTCGCGGTGGTGGCGGTGGAGGCTTTCTCGCGGTTGACGGCGATGTACACCCCTGGCTTGTGGCGGACGATGTGGTGCCCGAACCCTGGCTGGACGCGGAAATCGGCGTGGGTGCGGCCGTTGCCTTCTTCGCCGGCGACTTTGGAGAGGGATTTGGTTGTTGTTGTTACAGACAGTGACCGGAGCCGGGTGAGGCGCTGGGCGATGAAGCCCGAGTTGTCTCTTGGTTGGGCTAGCCAGGCCAGGACCCAGGAGTAGGATGGGTCGCGCTTGGAGATCTCGATGTTGACGAGGAGCTGGCGGCGGAGGAGGGCGGTGCCTTGGATCAGGGCGCGGCGGCCAAAGGCGGCGGCTGCGCCTAGGGAGGCGAGGCCGAGACCGCCGGCGAAGACGGGGTTGGTGAAGAGCTGGTCGAGGGGGAGGAAGGAGGGGGCCGCCGCGGTGGAGGGGCTCGTTGATGGCGGGGCTGAGGGGCTATATGGTGGTGGTGATTGTGCTGACTGTGGTGATGGCGGGAACGGCAGGCCCGCCGCGGGCGGCATTTGGGAATTGGGCGCCGGCATGGTGGACGGCTACATTGCGCGGTGAGTCGGGGATGGATCTGGTGGGTTGCAAGGCCACTTGCGGGACGGAAGGCTGAAAGTTGAATTGACAGGGCCGGGAGAACTTGAAATTTTAAGTGGGTCCACGCCGTTGCAAGCCGGCGCTTCGGTATCCATTCCGCCGGACCCAAGACCTCAGAACGACATTCGTTGCTTCAACATAGGATGAACACAAGACCACCAGAGGGATATATTCCTTAGGGCCTGTTCCCATGGTCAAAGATGGGTAAACACTTTTGAACAAAGGAGAAAAGCCTCCCAGGAGTCCCCGGAAAGAACATGATAATATACAACATGTACACAGGATATGGATCTGCCCCAGGTTTCGACATTCCCAACCCCCCAGTTTTCTATTAACCCTTTAACCCAATCTCCTTGGTTTTTTGCTTCTGGTACCACCGAACTTGATTCTTGTCGAATCCGACACCTTGACAATCTTATCCCTCAACCCCTTGCCTTCGTTGCCCATCAGGACCTTGACGACCGCCTCTCTCCCGGATCCGAAACCGCGCAGGATAACCTCCAATTTGTGAATCTTCTTCGTCAAACCCTTCTGGTTCATCTTGTCGATCACATATGCTCCCAGCTGGTACGCCGAATCGTAGTGCTTGCGTCCGGCATGCTTGAAACCGAGGTTGCCGCAAGATAGCGAGATGAGGGCGTCCCGGTTGGGCTTTGTGAGAGTGACGTGTGTGTTGTGCTTGTGCGAGTAAATGTGGAAGTGATATGGCTCCAGCTCGGTATCCTCCTCCAAAGGATCCAGATTGAAATCCTGTGTCAGGTCTCCGCTGCTGCTGTTGGCTTTGGAGGGATCGGCAACGTTCTCCATGAAGTTCCTCGTAAGGGTCATCATGGCGTCCGACTGTGATGCTGGGGAAGAAGGGTTATCAGCCCGTACAATGGGCGACTGGGAGAAGAGGCGAGCCCATTGCGGCGCGCTGGGAGCTGGGTGTCGAGGTTTGGTCAAGGTCCGAAGCATGCCCTGTGCCATGAGGCGGGGCGTCGAGAACCGACTCATCTTTTGTTACCAGTTGCCGTCTGCTGGGTTTCAAAGAGGATCGGAACGGCTTGTTCGGTTTCGACTCGACTCGGGGCACTAGCGGATTGGTCGTGGGCGGTCTTCGGAGACACGGGGCGCAATTGGAGGTCGCTCACTAGGTGATCACTGCTGAGCGCAATGACCGCCTTTGGAGCTCGAATTAATTTTAGGACCCCTCGGTGGCGGCCGACTGGAGCGCCGAGCCGGGAATTTGCCGGGGTCTTGGCAAAGATTTTGGCGGGCGGCCAAAGAATTCCAGATATTGAAGCATCTTCTTGTTGCCGCATCCCATCCACTTTGCATGGGCCCAAATCCCACCACACTTGCGCGCTTTCTTTCCTGTTACACTCTCGCTGATGTCGGCTGTCGGCTTCAATATTTCCACTTCTCTTCGCGCCTGTCTAGGGCCGTCCTCTTTCACAGCAGCAGCAACAGCCGCAGTAATCATGAACGCCTCCCGGCAGATCCAGAGGCTGTCGCCCGCCGCTCCATTGCGAGTATCGGGCCTCCGCAACATCACCAGCAACAATACTGTTGTGCCAGCACAGATTCGCCTTCTCTCCAGCCAGACCTCCCACACCCAGAACGGGCTTCGGCGGCCATCTACCCCTCCTTCGCTCCAGCAACAACCCCTCCTCCGATCGACCTTCCTCCCCAGTTCGCTCAGATTAGACACATCACCACCATCACACAGCCGCTCGTTCCATGCCTCTTCCAGATCACTTCAGGCCGAGAACGCCAAGGCACGTAAAGTACCAGTAGAAGAGAAGGAGAAGGAGCCAGAGTCCAAGGAGGAGGGCAAGGAGGAGACCAAGGAAGAGGCCAAGGAGAAGAAAGAAGAGGGTGAGGGCGAGGAGTCAGAGGGCAAGAAGGAGGAGAAGGGAAAGAAGGGCGATGCGCCACCTCCCCCACCACATGGCGATAAGACTCCATGGCAGGTGTTCCTGGACACGATGCAGAGCGAATTCAAGCAGTCGAAGGAGTGGAATGAGTCAACCAAGGCCCTGTCCGCTGGCGCCACCGAGTTTATCGAGAGCGAAAAGGTCCGCAAGGCCCGTGAGGCCTACGAGGCCACGACCGGTGCCGTCACCAACACTGCCGCGACCGTTGTCAAGACCACTGCTGGTGCCATCGGCAAGGGTGCTCAGTGGACCTGGGAGACCCGTGCCATGAAGGGTGTAAGAAAGGGTGCCAACATTACTGGTGAGGTGCTCGACAAGGCCACCAAGCCAATTCGTGAGACCGAGGCGTACAAGAATGTCAAGGATGTGATCGACGACGGAAGCAGTTCGAGATATGGTGGGTGGATCGAGAAGGAGGAGCGCAGGAAGCGGAAAGAGGCTCTAGAGAAGCTCAGGCCACAGACCGAGATCCATGAGGAGGACCCCAAGTAAGTCTTGTTGCTTGCAAAGTAGCAAGCATACCAGCTAACAATACTCCCTCAGTGCCGGAACCAACGTCACTCTCCACAAGGACGCCGCCTGGAAGGAAGCCTGGCGCGACTTCCGCGACTCCAACAAGATGATGCAGAGCGTCTTCGGCCTGAAATCAGTCTACCAAGAGTCCGAGAACCCCCTTATCTCCACCGCCCGCAGCATCACCGACCGCGTCGCCGGCTTCTTCGCCGAGAACGAGACGGCCATGGTCATCAAGAAGGTCCGCACCATGGACCCGGCCTTCCAGATGGAGACCTTCCTCCAGGAACTTCGAGAGTACATCCTCCCCGAAGTCCTCGACGCCTACGTCAAGGGTGACGTCGAGACGCTCAAGCTCTGGCTCTCGGAGGCGCAGTACTCTGTGTACGAGGCCCTGACGAAGCAGTACCTCCAAAACGGCCTCAAGTCTGACGGCCGCATCCTCGATATCCGAGGTGTGGACGTCCTCAAGGCGCGCATGCTCGACCCTGGCGAGATCCCGGTTTTTGTTATTACTTGCCGGACGCAGGAGGTGCATGTGTACCGCAACGCCAAGACGGGCAAGCTCGCGGCGGGCATGGAGGACAAGGTCTCGCTCGTGACATATGCTATTGGTATCACGAGGATACCTGAGGATGTCAACAACCCAGAGACTAGAGGGTGGAGGTTGATTGAGATGCAAAAGAGCGGGAGGGAGTGGATTTAAATTTGCTTCTTCTTTCTTTTTATTTGGTGTTGTTGGCCAAAAACAAAACCAAAAAAACAAAAAGCAAGAGACTGTATTATACGGGATAATGTTCAGCAAGGGACAGGAACCATTTCTCGGCAAATGTATAGAAGGGAAGGGGGGTAGGTTGCGCGGCGCCTTGAGCATTTTCGACACACACACCACACATGAAAACAAAAACGAACAACAACACCACTCTTAAAATTTGTTGGCGTGGGAAGGGATGGGGGGTGGGGGAAAGCGAGCATCTATGTGTTGTTTTTTCCATGATGCGGACATTACTTGTAGTTTTTTTATTGTACATTAGGGAGAAAGGAGGAAGCGAGAGTCTGGTGGGAGTGTTTGATGGTGTGTGAGCAAGTTGGCTGGGCCAGATGAGAGGGGGGGACAAGCAAAAATGGTGGTAGGAGGAGCTCACCCCGAATAGCTGGGAAAAGAGGGAGGATCTCAGTATCTTTTGCCTTTCTGGGTAAACATTCTCATCCATATGTACAATTGTTGTGTATGCATTAATGAAGGCTAAAAGAATGACCAAAAAAAGTGAAAAGAGATATTCAGCGGCACACCACTTCTCTCTTGGATTACAATCATTGATCAGCTCACACATCTGTCTCACCCAACACAAAATCAAGACAGTAATAATTCATCTCATTAAACCAAAGACACGTATAACTAAATCAATAATCCTCCCCCGCCTTATCCCACGATATCATTATCATAAGAATTAAACCACCAACTCAACCCTTCCTTACACCCAACCATTTTCTCAGCCACCATTATCACGTTATAATCACCCCCCGAAAGAAGACAAAAAAGGAGAAGAAAAAAACACGAAACTTTATCTATCCCATGAAACAGAATGCAAATAAGTTAACCCCATTTCTAAACCACCCCCACCACCCCGGCTCTCTCCCCCCTACCTATCCCACCTCTAATATGATTGTGAATAAAATAGCTAACACTCCCCTTTCAACCCCTCTATAGATGCACAATGCTGCAGTCAAAAGGTATGAACCCCCCAAAAAAGATGCTTGATCACCCACTCACTCCTCCACTTCGGTAGGAGACCGACTGACACCCTGCCCAGAACCACTCGGCTCACTTTTGCTCTGAATCCTCCTCGAATAAAACGGGAAGTATCCCCTCACTTCTCCATCCTTCTCATCATCCCCATCACCACCCCCCTTCTTCCCCTTCTTCTCATCATCATCAAAACATATCCGCTTTCCCTTCTCGTCCTCATCCTCCTCGTCATCACTCTCAGGTGTCCGCGGCGAGATCGACTTCCAATCTAATCTCGGTTTTCTTGGAGTTGTGGTCAATCCCATACCCATCATTCCCACGGTTGACGGGACTTTTCCCCAGTACTGCTGCTTGACATCCTGCCCTCCTCTCTGCTGCTGCGTTTGTCTCACACCCAACGAGGACGACAAAGGCAACCCGCCGCCGGGTGGAAACAGCGGATATGGCGTTGCCGCCGCCCCAGCAGGAACCATAACCACTGGCGTGGCAAAAAACTGAACGTGGTGGTTCGGCGGGATGACCCCAGGCGGTGGAACAAGTCCACGAGGAAGGGGGGCAACAGGTGAAGGAGGCGGTGCAGGAGTAGTAGTCAAAGGTACAACCCGCGGGCTGTCGTTTCCAAATGACCGATCCACTACCCTTCCAACAGGGCTAGACGGAGTGGTTGTGCTAATGCGAGGCATAAAGGTCGGAGCACCAGGGTTCAGCCTCAAGCGGCTCGACGACGACGAAGTGTCCTACACGGGGTTAGAAAAGGCCAGGAAAGATAGAACCCCGAGCCACCAAAAAGTCCATGTATCTAGATATATATGTCACGATATATATAGAGCCCGATACATTCCCTTCAGTGCAAACAGGATTCTATCAATCATACCTCTTTTTTGTGCCCGTTCACCGCACCACTCGCTGGTTTGGTGTTCTCCGAGCCGACGGAGCCGTTTACAGCGCTGTTCGGATCTTTCGTGGCGTCTCCATTCGTCTGCACACTTGGCTTGTTTGTCACTTTCGCGAGCACCGAGTTGGTAGCTTCAGCGCTCAGGTCATTGACGATATTCGGTGCTTTACGTCCCTTGACCGGGGACTTGGTGCCGTCCGGAGTCGAATCCTTGCTGTCCTTGGGCTTGACAAAAATTTGCTTCGACCAGAGCTCGGCATATTTGCCGTCCTCTTGCAGGATCAGCTCCTCGTGGCTCCCCTGTTCGACAATCTCTCCTCCGCCAACAACAATAATGCGGTCAGCATTCATGATAGTGGAAAGTCGATGCCTATCAAAACAACGTCAGCACTTTAGCCCCTTGTCTCCCATTTCAGCAAAACTTACGCAACAATAAAAGTGGTCCTCCCCTTGCAAAGGGTTCTCAATGCCTCCTGAATTTTCTGCTCAGTCTCGGTATCGACCGCACTGGTAGCCTCATCGAGGAGCACAATTGCCGGCCTCTTCAAGATGGCCCTTGCAATCGCCACTCTTTGAAGCTCACCCCCAGAAAGCTTGACACCACGCTCCCCAACCCGAGTGTTGTAACCGTCCGAGAATCCCATGATTTGTTCATGGATACTAGCAGCCTTGCACGCCTCATGGACCTCCTCATCTGTCGCCGTGAGCTTCGCATACCGGACATTGTTCATGATGGTGTCATCAAACAGGATCGGGCTTTGCGGAACAATGCCGATTTGTCCTCTCAAGCTGTTCACGTCGTTAGCATTACCCTCGTATCTAATCAGCTCGTTGGTACCATACCTGAACAAATCCACATCCCTGATATCCTGCCCATCAATCGTGATGCTTCCCTTCGTCACATCATAGAACCGATCCAGCAGCTTCAGAATCGTCGACTTTCCCGCCCCCGTTGCCCCAACAAAAGCAACCGTCATCCCGGGCGTGGCCTCAAAGTCGATATTCCTCAAGATCTCCTTCTTCTTGTCGTACGAGAAGCACACATTATCAAACTTGACCCTCCCGCCGGTGAAATGCAGTGGCGGTGCCCCCTCCTTGTTCTTGATGGTCGGTTTCGTCTGCATGATCTCCAACAGCTGCTCGGCGTGAATAAGATCCTTGCTTATCGTCTTGCCCAGCCCAGCAAAGAAGGTCAGCGGCGCCACCAGCTGAGCCCAATACGTCAGCAACATGATGAACTTTCCGGGTGTGACTTGGCCATGTGTAATCTGGTAAACCGCCAGAAAAGCACCAGCAAGCAAACCCGACAGTAACACCAAGAACTGGAAAGCATAAGCAACCACGTAGCCAAAGTACACCTTCTGCGACTTTGCCACCCGATCCTTGACAGCCTCCGAGTATCTTGCCTCCTCATGTCCAACTTGGTTGAAGCAGGTGACCGTTGACCATCCCTGAATACCAGCCTGTCTGACATAGTGTTCCTTGAACCAGGCGCTGACCTCACCCCTCCTCGCAGACTTGAGCTTCGAAATCATCCGAGTGGCAATATACAGAAACACGGCCGCGGTAGCAATGGTGATGAAGCCCTCGTACGGTCCAAAGGTATACGACAGGTAGATGAAGGCGACTGTCATGTCGATCAGCATGGGAACGGCCTGGAAACAAATCGATTCGAGCATGTTGGAGATGCTTTGACCAGACTGAATGGCCATCATGATGTCGGAAGAACTCTTCGAATCGTGGAAATCGGACGAGAGGTTAAGGACGTGGGAGTATGCCGCCGTGCTCATAGCATCGAAGGAGTAATACTCAACCGGAATCCAAAGCCACTGTCGCAAGAGGGAAAGACCTGCTTCGGAAGCTACCAGCTTCAGACCAGCAAATATCATGACCTCGGTCCAGGGGTTTCTGTCCACATCACCAGCCAAACTGTCCATAATGATGCCCATCTGCCGCGGGATCAAAACATTGATGGCGTTCATGGCGAGCAAGCAAACACCAACAAGAACAACGCGAACCTGAAGCGACCGATGATTGACAGGCCAAACGTAAGGGAAGAAAACCTGCATCCGTGTCACATTAGCTTCACCTCAGCATCCACAAACTATTCAGACATACCAAGAAACTCTTCGCGTATGTAACCCAGTTACCCTTCTCCTTCAACCTCTTCTCCATCGCCTCATTTGCCTGCCTCTCCCTCCTCTCCCACGGAGACTCAACCGCATCAGTAGTCGGGCTCTGACTAGCATCCGTAGAACTATCCGACGTAGCCCCATACCCATTCTGGCTCCTCTCCTCCCCATCCGACTCAACCCCGTTCACATGTCCATTCGTCTTGTTGAGCAAGCCCTGCCTTTCCATATCAGTAGCCTTTTCCCTCTTCACATTCCAAACCCCCTCAAAATAAAACATCAATACCAACCCAAACGCAGCCCATCTCGCCCCAGCCGCCGAGAAATCAAAAATCTCCCTGAATCCCAACCCCCCAGTTTCCACCCTAGTCTTCCAAGTCAACCAAACCAAAACAGGTTCAAAAACCATCCCCATGCCCACACTCCCCATATACGGCCACAGCACCACCGCCTTTTCCGCCTCCCAAAGCCCCGCAAACTGCACCCCAAACACCAGCGCGCAGCTCAGCAAGCCGATGATGACATCCTGCTCCGCCGGGGGGAACTTCTCTTCGGCAACCGCCACAAATAGTAGATATCCCAGCTGAGCAAACCAACTCAGAATGCCCAGCATCAACAGCCAAGAGATGAACCTGCGACGGGGATGGTCCTTGGACTCGGCGGTGGACCGGGTCTGGAGAGTGCAAACCGCAATGGTGGACGAGATGGTGTAGTAGATGAAGACAGCGGCTGGGTATCCGTAGTGAAGCGAGGCGAGGAGGTGGCGGAATATTGGGCTCTCCTCTTCTGGGACGTCGGCGTCGTATGGGTCCGCCATTGTGTGTTGGGTTTATAGAGAGGGCTGGCTAGCCTCGGCCAATAAAAGAGATTATATATCGTTTGTTTGCTTGTTGCTGTGTAAACTGGTCGTTCTCGAACGTGCAATCGAGATAGCAACACAGAGCGGAAGTAAAAAGATGGATTCCTTTTTCGATCGTCGTAGAAGAAGTTAAAGTTATGGTATACGGTAAGGCAGATGGAAGCCTAAAATGACACGAGGATGTTTTTTTTTGGCCTTTTCCGTGCTGCCTTTCGTTGATTGTCGGAGGTGTTGTATGTTTGTATGTGTGTGTGTGTGTGTGTGTGTGTGTGTGTGTATGTGTGTGTGTGGTTGGAAAAAGTAAGCCGTCCCGTCGAGATAGGTAGGCGAAAGAAAGAGGCAACCCTTCCAGACCAGATCCTTCGGCCTTGCCTGACTTGATGATTCAGACCCGTTCGCTGTTGCCGAAAAGTTGCAAGTATGCGTGTTCCACAGCTCAATCTCCTCCGTCGGGTTACCCTTCCTCGCTCTTTCCTTTTGAAATCGTTGCCACAAACACCCGCCGAGAGGACCTCAGAAAGTGCAAACCGCGGAGTCTTGTTGCAAAGTCTCAGTTGAGGAAAGATAACACCACCCGCCAGGCAGGTACACGCAATCGAACAAAGGACCTGTCTGTCTGTGCTAAGCTATCGCCCGAGAGTGAATACTCAAAGAAGAAAGAACCCGTGGCAATGGAAGATCTGGTCTTCTCCGTCCGAAAATCTGAGACAACAGAAAATAATGCGATGGTAGTTGTTGTCTTGTGCCGTGTGAGCAATGCAGAGAAGAAAGCTTGTCTAGATAGGGGAAAACTTTCAACAGCCTTGGACTTCTCACTCCGGACGCCCCCCCCCCCGAATTGTCTGAATAGCCAAATCGCGTGTTGACCCTGGATTGGGCCAAAGCAAAAGGTACAGTGGGTTCCCCTGGCTATGTGTTCCCAGTCCCGCGGAACCTGCTGCACATGCAAGACGAGAGAGAGAGACAGAGAATGCAAACAAAGCAAATGTCCGGGGTCCCTCCTCTGCTGCTTGCTCCGCTTGTCAACCGACTGGGAAGGTCTGACAAGACGCACACACACACACCACACAACACCTGTCGCGTAAGTCGTGATCCACAGAACCCGGCTGTGTGTGTCAACTTATATTTCCCGTCACCGCAAGGCTAACAGAACAAACAGTGGGACAGGATAGATGGGAACTGGTAGAACCAATTCTATCATCCAGCGAGATTGCTGGGTACGTGCTGTTGAACTGACTCTCACACCCCCCGTGAGAGAGAGAGCCTCTCGGATTCTTTGCCGCTTACTCTGAGCCTCCGAAGCCGGTGCTTCCGTCCAACTGCAGGGACAGCTCCTCTCTCAAAATAGAGAGGTTTGCCTCGACCGGCAGAGGTGACAAATGCAAGCACGACAGGAAGAATTTGCCGCGTCCCTGTGAGAGCTTGGGCCAGCTGGACAAAATCCGTGGTTCTCCTTAGGTATGTGAGACCGTCAAGCGGACAAGATGTGGTACCAGCGTACACAAGAGGTCACCTCGAACGACGACGCGCCGCCCAACCCGAACACGAATCTGGTCTTCTGGCTGATGCTATGGGCTTGGAGTATGATAAAGCGGCTCTATGTTTGGCGTCGGTGTGGAGGGGCAAAAAGTCCAGGCTTAAAATATATTGGGAAAAGATCCGAGGACGGCTTGTTGTGGCAAGGTTGACTGGAGGATAAGGTGACTGAGGGACCGAGTCGATGAGTTGGAAAAGTATTGGGCGGTGTAAGAGGAGGGTGACCTTTGGTAACGGCTAAGTTGGCTGTCCACTGCGTAATCCCTCAGCAAGAGGCTCCCCCAACAAGCGAAAGGGGTCACAAAACGGAAAGCTTGGAGGCCGGTCGTGATGATGGGAGCGGCACAGGAGTCTCACACACCTCGGCCACGTTGTGTCCCACGGAGCCGGTTCCTTCTTTCAGACGAGACTTGGACCAATGCGGCTGAGGTCAACAAAGTGGGTTAACATAAGCGTTGTTGTAAGGTTTGTAAGGCTCGCGGCGTTGGCTGATGGTAGCCCGCCTTTGTGGTGATCATGAGAGCTTGACCGAGCTTACAAAACAAGATTGGGAAGGGGGAGACTCTCGTGATCTGTCACTTGAACATTGGAAGAGACGGTGTGCGCCAGCAAGCGCTAGCGAATGCGTGTGCGTGCCCCGTCATGTAATTCATATTGCTTTTTTCAATATTCGAATTCCTTGGGGCCTGCCAAGATCGGGAATCTTGGGTTGGTTTTGCCCCTGTCCGGATTGTTGACTGCCACTCACACCACTACGGTGAGGAAGGGAAGGGAACATGGGTTGGTGGCATGGGCGCCAGCCGAATCCAGGATCAGCACATCGGCGGTGTAATCAATCTGGAGATCGATCCTTTTCCCTGCCGCGGCAGGCGAGCAGCCGAACTTCGGGCGCCGTTCCCGACAACAAGTCCGAAAGAAAGCACAGTCCACATGGGGCCGGAACCTCGCTCATGAGCTCCACAACCTCCCGCTGTCACAAACGCCTATCTGCACTAAGAGTTTTCAAACTCTTGAATGTGATTTGTTTCCAGAGTGGCGGAGAGAGAAGAGACGGCTTAGGGTTTGCTCCTTTGTGAATCTTTGTACCAAGTGTCGGATAGCTAGAGTGGTATCCACATTCCAGTAATGGAAGCTTTCCCACTGTCCTGGGCCACGTTATCACCGCCCTCACTATCACACGCGCCTGGTGTCGTACTCATGCGAATTTATATGGACCTTGTGTCACCCCAGAAGCAGTCGGCCAGCAAAGGATTTTTGGTTGCATTGGCTCATCATCATCAGCATCACGAGGTCGTCTAGACTGTGTGAACCTAATGGCTCGGCAGTTGGACGAACTCGGTGAGGGGTGACAGGTTCCTCATCGTTGGTTCCGTGGCGATCATATGGGTTGTCACCTAAAATTGGAAATCGATATCTTTGCCGTTACACATGCAACGAGATAGGATATATGGGCCTTTAGGAGATGCACAAGTCTTCACACCATATGCAGCCGCAGCGCTGCCAGGAGAAAGGGTTGTGTCCAAATGTGGGGTACTGCATTCGAAAAGGAGGTGTGCTGAGAAAAAGGTCTGGTGCTTCCAACCAACCCCGCCGATATGGCATTGCTCCGGTACTGTGTCGTGGCCGGGTGTTTCTGAGGGGTTTCTGTCGGAGTTTTCGTCTACTATGATCAGTTCGGACCCGCACCATGTGGAAAGGTGATCGGAGGATAACATCCACGAAGCACAAGTTTGCAACAAGTTCTCGACCATCGCAGCCAAAGCCCGATGGATGTCCCGGGCTTCGGTGTGGGGCTATCGGCGATGTGGGTCTCGGTGTGTTCCGTTTCGGAGGACCTCGTCCCGTCGGGAGTCGGGGAGGTGGGTCACATTGAAATCTGGGTCGGGCTCTTTGGGACTCCGGATTTGGTAAGGCTTTGAGACGCATAGTCGGATCGAGGATCGACGGTACGGCAAAAGAGAGAACTGACAGCTTCTTCCTATCCTTACCAATAGGCCTAGGTCGGCGATAGTCTTGAACACTTGCAGCTGCACAGGCTCAGTGACGCTATCCCGTCACAGGAGCGTGGGTGCGTGTAGGTGCCCGATGGGAAATAGTTGACCACAGCGTCACCTGAACGTGTCCTGGCTACTGCAGGAGGGTGAGACCGGGCCTTGGTTATCGAATATGTGGCGTCTCTGCATTGAGCCCACGGCAGATGCTCTCACGATGAGGTGATTCCCGCTGCGCCAAGAAGTGAGAAATCCAGGAATTACAACCTGTCAAAAGTCAGTTTCTAAATTTCACTCGGAAGGTGCGGTGAGGATATACGATTGGGGGAGGTTTCACATCGGATTCAATGCCTGGGTAGGTACTCAGAGCAGCGGCCATGGACATTGCATTATCATATCTCTTCATATATGAGATGAAAAGCATGAAAAGCACGCTCACTCACTTGCCACTTCCTTCTCAAGTCCTAAAAATTCAACCCAAGGTCACCGCCGCTGCCTTGAGGTGACGTTCCTGTTCTGTTTTGGGAAGGAGCTTGGCACATGTTGTCCGACGCTGGAAGGGGCGACTCGAGTGCGATGTTCCCCAGACTTTTGGCACAGTCCCGTCTCTTTGAGGCTGAATGCAAGTTTACGGCGAGAACTGTCACTTTGACTTCATTGCAGATACCGTTTAGGTGACAAGATTATAGCCCAGGTGGCGGGCAAGAGACGAAGCAGGACTCTTGAAGACAAGACACTAAAGAACAAATCTTTTTCATTGCCTGCTGATGCACACATGCCTTGCTCTGCCTTGCCTGCTCGCCTTGCCTGCTATCCTCCGCACTGTTTTGCCCGGCATAACTAAACCTAGCATAATACCACCTATCACAAACAACAACAAAAGAGAATCCCAAAACGCCCAAACCCAGCCTTTGCCAAAGTTATAATACCCTATTCGAAATACAAACCCCACCAGAAAAACAACCATAATATCCTTACAATCCCTCCCCCTCCCTTGAAAAATGTTGTTATCCTTGCCCATTGTTCCCTACCTAGCCCAGTTATGCCCCACGAAATTATTCAAACCCCTCAAAAACACTTTCCGTCCTTCCCCCCCCCTCAACCCTCACCGGCAGCCCCTCCAGCACCGTAACATCAACCACCTCCCCCTCCATAACCTGGCCAGCCTGCTTCTGCCCCTCAAGCACATCGTGCAACCGGTACAGCTGCCCGCTCTTCGCCTCCAGCTCCCCCTGCAACCTCTTCATCTCCCCCATCAACCTCTTCCTCTCCCTCGCACCCACCGACTTGTCCAACGAGAAATACCCCTCATTCACCCTCTTGAGCTCCATCTGCAAGTGCTCAATCTCGTCTTGGGTCTCCTTGATTAGAATAGCGAGGGCTTCCCCCGGTGACATCGAGGGGCGCATGGTCGGCTCGTCGGTGTAGTACCTGTCTGAGGCCGGGACGGGCTTCTCGACTGAGACGGTCTTCTTGCCGCGTTTGAGTTCTTCGGCTGAGAGTTGAAGTTTGGTCGACAAAAGGTTTTGGGTGGTTTCCTTGGCCGAGGCACCATGCGCCGCGATGCGGACACAGACGTTGCAGTTGCCTGATTTGTGGTTGCAGATACCGTCCAACACGCGCCGGGCGTCTTTGCTGAGGGAGGGGACGTTGCTTTGTTGCTTCGAGGAGGCAGCTTGCTGCTGTTTGTTCCCGCCGGACAGGGTTATGTCAGGCATGAAAAACGCAGAAGTCATGTTGGGCTCTACCGTCCCTGTGTGCTGCTGCTGTTGAGTCGTGGTGTTCTCTGAGTTCCGGCGCATCCTAGACTCCGGCCGGGTGGCCTCACTCGCAACAGACCGGCGGGTGTTGTTCTGCGTGATCTGAACAGACTCGTCGTCGAGCGGGCTGGCAAAGCTCATAGCTGACCGCACGCTGAACCGACCGGTGTCTTCCTCCAACGGGGCAAACTGACTAGACTTCTTAAGGATACCAGGAAGCGGTTGAGCAATCTTGGATGAAACAACACTGTCAGATTTGCTCCGCTGAAGACTAGGCAGCTGGGGTAAAGAGTAGTCGGTAAACTGCTGGGTATCGCCTTGCTGCTGTCGACGCTGAAGGTCCTGATATGTCTGCTTGAGCTTGGCAAGCTCGCCCTCCATGACACTGGCAAAGTCCGTGTCTTGGGCGTTCATGTGGAGCTCGGTTGTGGGATCCTCGTCGATGTGCATGTTGCTGCTCTTGCCAGTAAAGTCATCCACATCCTTAGGATCAACAACCTTGACCTTGGTCGTCCTCATCGCAAGCGCCGTAAACTCCTGCTCAGCAATCTCGGCAATTTTGGCGGTGAGCAGCTTGACCTTCCTGACGGCGGCTTCCCGGCGATCAAGCTTGCGCTGGAGCTCGGCTTCCTTGATCCTGAAATCATCTCCCAAGCGCACACAATCCTCATTGTCGTTCAATGACTTGCTGTTCAGCATCTGGCTCAGCCGAACGACCTTTTGCCGTTCGTCCACCCACTGGTCTTCAATCTCCTTCTGTTCCTCCCGCAAACGCCGGTTCTCATCCTTGAGGCGCTCGTTGTCGATGGAAATCTCCATGTTCTCATCCTTCAACGTACGGATACGGGTCTCCCTGTCGTTGAGGTGGCTGTCTTTCTCGTGAATGTCGTCCTTGAGCTCCTCCATCTGGTTGGTAAGACGTTCCAATTCCACCTCGAGGTCCGCATTCAGCTGAAGCACAGCGGTATCCGTGGTCAGACCCTGCATGCTATCAATGATCTTGTCACGGGCGCTGATACCCTTCCTAAGATCAGTGATGTGCTGGTCCCGGGCGGCAACCTGTGCCTGAAGCTTCTTGTTCTCCTTAAAGTAGGTGTCATTGTTCCGTTCCATACTTTTGTGATCATCGACGAACATCTTCCTTTCCCCCTTCAGAGCCTCGTATTGCTTGCGAACCGAAGCAAGCTCCTCACGAGTAGCCTTGAGGTCCTTCCGGACCCCAGCTAGTTCCCTGCGAAGCCTATCGTTCTCTGCTATCAAAGTCGCATTGTCATGCATGGCCTCATCCCGTTGTTTTTGCATGGCCTCGGCCTCAGACATGAGTATGCCATTCTCAAGCTGCAATGACTCTTTATCCTGACGGAACTGCAGCGAGTACTGGAGATCCTTCTGTGATGCCTCCAGCTCAGCTTGCAGTTTAGCAGCCCTCTCGCGAGCGATCGATGCCTGACGCAACGCCTCATCACGCTCAGCAGAGAGCGCGGCGCTGTGGATATCATTCATACCAACTTGCTGACTCGCATGGTTGAGACGATCCCGCAGCTCCTGAATCTGACCCTCTAATTCCTGGTCATGCCCATTGCTGCGCCTAAAGGAACCGTCCGTGTCAGAGCCGATAGCGCTGTCCGAAGGGTGCCTACTCTTGAACCTCTTGAGCTCAGACTGGAGATGGTTCACCTCGCGCTGCAACTTCTCTGCCTCACGCTGGAGCATAGCGTCGTGATCCTGGAGTTCGCGCACCTCGTCTTGGAGCTTATCCATTGACACAAAGATTTCCACGTCCTCCTCGGGAATGCTCACGGAGTTGAGAGCGCCGTGACCATTCGCCGACTGGTCAAACCTAACACCAGTCTTGGACTTGACGAAAACAGGAACGCCGTTCTGCATGGTGCTGAACTTGAGAGTACCGGATGTCCAATCAGGAAGGTGTCGGAAGCCCGGCAGGAAAAACGAACGGCCTTCTTCGAAACTCTGGCCTTGGAGAGTGTCGGGGTTGGGCTGTGCAGTAGAAGGTTCCCTCATCAAAGACTTTCGTGGCGTCATGTCGCGCCGGCTGTTCTGCTTTTCGGTGCGGATCTTGGAAACCATGTCTTGGATAGACCTTTTGGGGGCCTCAGGAGACATGACACCATCCAGGTTCTGGAAACGGGACCGGCGCCCATGCCGACCTGGAGACATCGATAATGAGAGTACTGTAGAGCATTCAGATTCATTTTCGACACGGGCCTGCATATCAGCCCGGGTTCGTTTTTTCCTCGAGTCCAATGGGTTGTCAAAAGTCTGCTCCTCGGTGACCTCTCTGGCGGGGGGGACATTCTCCTTCCCACCGTTGGCTCCGTTTGTGAGAGGCTTTATTACTCCGGCAAAGTCGAACGTCTGGGTCAGCGTTGCCGTGTCCTTGTCCTGGTTATTGGTCTTGTTGTTGAGAAGTCCGCTCCATTCGGGGAAGGTGCGCGCGATGGCCGAGGTGTTAAGTACGGTGTTTGTATCACGAGGTTGCCTTGAGGAACCGAACCGGCCAGATCGGGTAGCCTGCCTCTTGGCCGGGTTGGTGAAGTCTTCGCTGAGCCGGCGGGTGCCCTCGCCGTCCGGACTGAAAGAAAAATTGGAGAGATTTCGGGTGAGTTCCTCGGTCGTGGTGCTAACAGTATCGTGGGAACCTGTGGAGGATGGCGGGGAGCTGAAGGGGTTGTGCTGAATGCGGTGCTCGAGCATCTCCTTTTTTAACCTAGATATATGCCGTGGTTTGCTAGATTGATGATGATTTGACCTATTGCTGTTGACGTCCATGTTGGGCTAACTGCTGGGAGCGCGTCGAGCGCCGTGTCGTGGGGGGGATGCAAAAGATGGGAATCCGAGCAAGTGCAACAAACGGAACAGAGAAAAATAACACTGGAAGGGAGGTCGAATGTCAACAATACGACGGGTAACGTCCGGGCCGCAGGAGTTGCTGCAAAGTAAACAAAACTCAGGCAAGCGCTTCGGGTGTCGAATGCAGTCGCAAGGCAGGCAGTCGCATGCTGAAAGCCAGAGTCGCGTTGCAGGGCAATGGCGACAGGGAACGTCGCGAAGGGCGGGCTCTCCTCATGCACACAGCAGGTGACGGTGACAAAGCTGGGGGAGACGCGATCAAGACCCATTTGTTTACAAGAGTACAGAGATACAAAATAGGGCCAAGTGGGGCAGCAACGGGTAGCGTAGGTGGAAGTGGGGCAAGAATGCGCCGGCACTGTCAGAAGGAGTGATTTCATTGGTGCCATGCCTTGGCCCAGCTGCCACCAGACCGTTTTTGGTGCCATCGGGCTGCGACCAAGTCTCAATTCCTGATTCAACACCACTCTGACTGGATGAGAACCACTGGCCTAGATCAGGAACCGGAGGCTTCTATAGCAATCAATTTTTATCGTTTTGCAGTAGTGACGAACAGAGAAAAAGGCTCATGTTCTGTCCCAGTATTTTCCATAATAAACATAATCGCTTGCCAAATACACGACATTTTGACATATCGCCCCAGGTGGACCACAGGGAATCTTTCTAGAAGTGATGTTACAATAGGGCTGACTGCCCAAACCCCGTCCATTTTCATTTTGCACCAAGCGGAATCCCATATCTTTTATCTTCCTTATATCTCCTTTAACGCTCTCCGGCAAGTCTCCTGCTCTGCACCTCACCCAGTGCCTTGGTACCGCTCAGCATTGTGACCACAGCAACAGCGCCAATGACAGGCAGGGCCTGGAAGAGGTTCCAGGTGGTATAGTAGAGGAAGAAGACACCCTCCATGGCGAGGATAGAGCCAAAAAAGGTGGCGTGTGAGACTGGGGCGGCACCAATGGCCTTGGAAAGGTGGTTGAGGTTTGCGCCGAGGAAGATCCACTGTGTTGAATTCGATATTAGTGGCTGTCTGAATTAGATCAATGGCAGACAAGACTTACGCTGATGAACAGAACCGGAACCGTAGCAAGCACAAACAGCGCAAAGAAGATAGAAATCACCTTTGGCGGGCTCGTGGGATCAGCGCGGAAGATGTGGTGGATCTCCTCCTTCTTGCCATAGCGGACGGGCTTCTCGTAGGGTGGGAGGGGGACATTGGGGTCCTTCTGTAGCTTGACATCGAACACGGGGGCATTAAGAGCCTTGGAGGAACCGAAGGAGCCGAGGATAATCGAGGCCTCGAGGGGTCCGTCGCTGTGCAGGAATTGGACGGGAAGGTCCTTGTGAGTCTATGCCGGTCCTCGTCAGCATTGGTTGTCGAAATCTCGATGTTTCCATTTGCCTTACAATTGAAGCGACCGCCTTTCCACTTTCCTTGACCGTCAAGGGGAAGGGAGCCTCAAGCCCAGTCTCCTTCTCTTTGAGAATAACAAACGCTTGATGCGGGCGCTTCCCCTGACCATTGTCCTTTGCCGTCAAGCTGATCTTTAGTGTATCGGTGCTGCCGAGCGAGAGGGGCTTCGTAACGAGTGTCTTCGAGGTGAACCTACGATTTGTGTTAGCTTTCTACGGCGGAACTTTACTTGGCGTTCTGAAGGTATTGTATACCTCTCCTTGCTGCCAGCATCGCCAGCCCGCTTTGCGACAACTGAGACGCTGCCATCATCGAACCCCCAAGATGTAGCCTGCGCGACGCCAGCCAGGAGCAGAAGCGCTGGCGCAAATGATTGTGTGAACCTCATGATAGGCTATCGGATATATGTGGAATGTGTCGTAAATCGGTGCAGCCCGTCGTTGCGTGAAGCAACTTTACTGGGTGACGAGGCTAATGATGGCAATTGGAGCTGTCACTTCCAGTGCCTCAATGAACACTTGTTCAAGCTCCATGCTCCATGCGCGGCGCTACGGCCAAGTGCCAAGACACCGGGGAAATCGGATGGGATGTGGCCTGTGCGCCTTCTTTTTCTGGAATATTCAACATTGATATTGACCAAGAGTCTTGTTGCTCAACGTCGTGGAAGTAAAGGATTCCTCTCTCTGCTTTTTTGCTCCATCATGAATGTCAGAGTTCGTCTGTATGAGTCTTGCCTTCGAATTCAACAACATGGCGGTTGCAATATTGTCCTCGCAGAGGGAATAAATGTGTCCCACTTGTGCCTTGGAACTTCCCCGTCCAATGTTGCAGCATGATCTTTCCTACCAATGCATTATGAATGAACCCTGTAGTCTACAAAACGCAGTTAATTCTCACAAGGACTGTTAATCAACATGTTGTAATATTCTTTGGCGGTCATATTGCTCGCAAACAAAAAAAACTTTCCCAAATGGGTTGCTCACAAGCGTCTCACAGTTGCTGATTGGTCGAGTTTTTCTCTGGTGGGTGGATTAAGAGCAAGCTCGGTGTTCGACAGCATTCGTGATCGTTTCCAGGCCGTATAAGCAGCCAGACACCGAATGGAAGACCATTTACGATTCCTCGGTTTACTTATAGTCCATGAGATCAACTTGTGGATGGCCCCCGATACGATACCATTTGACGCAAAACCTGAAGCCCGTGGACGATATCATGAACGGAGGCATACGCAACTCTGTCCGAGACACCAATCAATTTGTGCATCGGGGCTTGCTATCTCTCCGCCCGACCAACCTTTGTTTGCAAAGTCATGATATATTGGCTGGCAGGAATATCCCCCGCCTTCCTGTTCAGTTCAAGGCGGGGCTATCTATGTTGTGGTCTTGCATGGAGAAACATGGACTTCCGGCATGTTGCAGGCTGGTTACTGCAGGCAGATATGCATACTCTCAAAAGCGATTGGGAGTCAGTCTCGAGATGCAAACACACCAGGATCCTGCCTAGTGTTGGCCACAGATCACGGCACTTAAACACGAAGTCTGGGCGCGCGGGGCGTGGGGATGGATGTGTGGGTGACCATCGAGGTTGGATATCAAGAGATTCTAGAACATGAGGGGCAAACTGAGGTGATAGACCTCGTGGTTTTTCCATGACCAAAGCTCTCTCGTATAGCAATGAGAGCAGATCAGCTGAAGCACTGACAGATAACACAGACGATGCTGAAGAAAAAGAGTGGCAGGAAAGCTTCACTTGATCGGATGGCAACTGACAGATTTGACACGGAGGACTGGCAAAAAGTGAAGGCAAAGTGCACACATAACGCTAAGATCATGGGCCGCCTAGGGCTTCGGATTTCTGCTTCCGTTTTAGAAGTTGCTTGCTTCCACTGTGAGGGGCACAGATTCGGATGCATCCATGTATTTGGAGGTGCCGCACGAAAACGCAACATAACATGGATTCGGACATATGAGCCTTGCTTGGTATCAAGGAATGGCACTGCATCGGACGAGCCGTTGCCTGTCCTCGGGGCGTTCAGTCCGCTGAGACGGTGGAGCCGAGCTGCCCTTCTAGTGTAGTCGAACCATCGGCTTTTCGATGAATGACAGAAACGTCGACACTTTTCAGCGGTGTGTTGATGGTGATGTTGCGTCGCCCGAGACAGCTCTCCCAAAAGTGGTCAATCTGTGCCACAGAGCTCCCCCAGTATTCAATTGCGGTGGCCCAATTGGAAGTTTTTCTCCTCTGTGTTCGGCTTGTTGCGAGTGCTCGGGCTGCTGATCCCTGCGACAATAACAAAGAACATGCCCGACAGGGATGGCCGGTCTAAACCTATCAACGGCTTTGGCGGGTGATTAAGCTGCCAAGGGGACCAATCCTCTGTGACCTTGGGGCCAGCCACGGCCTAGATAGTCCATCGTGGGTCTGGGGTCGCTGGGGCCCTTTTTACTGAATCTCGGTCGCGTTTTCCTTCCTGTTATGCCATCCCCATCTCCATCTGCGGACTGTCTTTCGTTCCCGATCCCTTTAAAAGAGCTGTGTGCTGTCACTCGCTAAGAGCACTCACGTCTCTGGGAATTGTTTGTATTCTTGCCCTCGTTCGTATATTTTGGCCGCCTCTCCTCGTCGCAACCGGTGCTTTAATCTCCTAGAACGCCGTTAATATTACGAGTCACCGTCCACGCCTTCTCCTTTTCCTCAGGTCTCGGATCCACCGCAGCTGTAAGACTTGACCTCACCTTTCCACTGGAATGCGGACCCCGTGGCCGTGGCGACGTCGGCCCTGTTGTGTTCTTCCGATCAATTGCTAAACATAACCTCATTCAGACCGCCATCTTGCTCCAGCATCCCTTCGCATCTTACCAGCGTGTTTCCTTGAGCTCCTCAGTCACAATGGTCAACTTCCGAACAACCGTCCTGGCCTTTGCCGCCGCCGTCACCGTCTCAGCCGACTACGTGATCGACCCAAATACCATCCCTCTCTCTGCCAGAAGTATGTTTAACGCGAAGTAATTGCTGTCGGGAGACATGCTTACCAGGTAAAATTTGCAGAGGCCTGGTGCAACGACCAAAGGAGCACTTGCCCAACCATTTGCCGTCAAACCAGTGTTGGCCAGCCCCTCGTCAACGACTGCGATCCTGTATGTGGCCTGGGCTGACTCGATCGTACGAGCTTTCGGCGCTGACAAAACCGTGTAGGAAACCCTGAATTACGGCTGCCTCTGCAGCGACAACAAGCAACCAAACATGTCCGAGTACACCCTCACCCTCCCCTACCACGTGTGCACAGCTTGGGGCACTCAGTGCGTGAAGGACTGCGGCACCAACAACCTGTGCTCTGCTGCTTGCCGTGAGGAACATCCTTGCGGTGCCCAGAACCCCAGCCGTGTCAACGAGACCAAGACGGCGACCACCTCGGCGGCTGAGGAGACGGCGACCCCAACTGATGGAATTGCGGACGGCTTCGGCGATGGTACCCAGAACAACAACGGCAGACCAGGAAGCGGCGCTGGTGCTCTCGCGCTCGGCAATGCCTATGGTCTCGCTGTTGTTGCCACTGGTCTGTTTGCTGGCTTCACTTTGCTTCTTTAGAGACCGACAATTGGCGTGGTCTGGTAAAATGCGTGCTTCAGGAATATAAAAAGCGGTTTCTCTGGTTTGCTGTTGGTGTTGGTTGGGGTTGATGTGTATAGGAAGAAGTTGTGCGTTGACGGTGGAAGGAGCTGAGCCTAGGAACCAGGAACATACTTAAAAGGGGTTCCAGGAAGGTGCGATGGGAGGTGTTTAATATCCTTAATGTCTAAACTACTACACTACAATTCATTGGTCGTTTGGAGAATTTTGATAGGTGAATCCTTTTTTATTTTTTTGGCATTGGACAGTTCGTTTCACAAATCAAGGGTCTGGTTACACAGTACCGCATTGCTGCTGTTTCCCACGCAGGTGTATAACTCGACTCACTCTAATGTCAGCAGGCTCGAGGCATAACGGCTGGTACCTCTTATTGCCGTCTTTTAGTCGGGTGATTGTTTCATCTGAAGGTCTGGCTCTTCATCCCATGTGTGATGTTCACACAGCCACTTGCACTCATCCACGCACATCTTTCGATTCTGACTCGGGAATTCCAGGAACAAACACGTCTTGAAACACAAACGCTGAACTCTCACAAAGATCCACGAGCCGTGTTGCACAGAGTAAACATGAAGCTCGTCATCCGTCCTCCATGCAGCGGCAGATGCCCTCATTTCACTCACTGCAGCCTCACCGCCTGCCAATTTTCACGTGCAAAAATTCAAATCTCAAGCGAGTGGGGCAGACCCTTCAAACCAGCTGGCAGAGAGCAGTCTGTTGAGATTTGATTCGCAACGACACCAGCGTTGTCTCTCAACAACTGAAGAGACCGGCGCCTACAAAGTGCTGCTATTTCCTGGACTACCTTTTGCTCAAGTGGACCCCTTCACTGGACCCGGGCTTGATAAACGAGCAAATCCCGTCCACCGACCTCCGACCGCCGACCAAACCTTGCTCCCGGTATCTTGACAAAGTAGTTGGTGGCAGCCGCCGTCTCTTGACTTGTTGATTTTTCCTTCATTTTCCTATCAACGGCCACGAGTACCCTATCACCGAACCGGCACCGATCCTAAGAAACATACCTCTAAACTACCGTCGCGGTTGTATTTTTCGAAACGGCTTCTTTGTACCAGCCATACACCTTAATCGCAGCCCTTGGAGCGTAATCAATCCCCTTTCAGGGAGGTTGACCGACACCATGGTACTAGACAGCAGCAGTGCGCGCAACCCCCTTGTGATCCACCTTTGCATTGACTCCCCATACCTGCATTTGTGCTTCCCCCGCGATCTTGCTCCGAAGAAGACGATGTGGCTGACGGCGATGGAATCTGTGCAACAGGAAGGGCCGCTGCCGAGTGTGTTTCCGAAGAAGCACTCATCCACCTAAAATACTACAAATATTCCGCCGTCGACAAGTCCCCCATATCAAACTATGTCCTCAAGCACTGGGTATGCGCTCTATGCCCCGCCTCCGACGAGAATACTAGACTGAGACCTTGTAGTGGAATGCGTTTGTGGAGGTTCTGCCATTATGGGTCGCCCCAAACATGGTGACCCTTCTAGGCTTCTTTTGCATCTTGATTAATGTCGCCCTTTTGGTCATCTATATGCCGGATCTCGTGGGACCTGTGAGATACTTTCCAAGGCACTGGGTGTGGGAAACACGAGCTGACGCTTTTCAGGGCCCAACATGGTTATACTTCAGCTTTGCGCTCGGTCTCTTCATGTACCAGACTTTCGACAACGTGGACGGCAAACAAGCGAGACGTACCGGCACATCCAGCGGACTGGGAGAGCTCTTCGACCACGGCATTGACAGCTTGAACTGCACCTTGGCCAGCTTGTTGGAAACCGCCGCAATGGGTCTCGGGACCTCCAAGTCTGGTGTCTTCACCGCTCTCGTACCTTGCCTGCCCATGTTCTTCTCGACATGGGAGACCTACCACACGCACACCCTCTATCTCGGAGTCATCAACGGACCGACTGAAGGACTCCTGCTTGCCTGCATGTTCATGATCCTGTCTGGGATTTATGGACCGGCTGTTTGGACCGAACCGCTGGTTGATCTCGCCGAGGGTCGTGTCTACCTACTTAGTAACCTAGGTTTGACAAAAGACACTATTGGCGACCTGTCGATCCGGGACATCTGGGTGGGACTGATCATCTTCTCGCTGCTGGCCACCCACATTCCGTTTTGCGTTTTGAACGTCGTCAAGGCTCGGAGAGCTCGCGGCCAGCCCGTGGCTCCCGTCTTCCTCGAATGGACCCCCATGGCCATCTTCACCTTTAGCATCGGCGCCTGGGTCTACAGCCCATACTCGTACATCCGCACCGACAACCACCTCGTTCTTTTCTGCATCATCATGAGCTTCGTCTTTGGCCGCATGACGACCAAAATGATTCTTGCACACCTTACCAAGCAGCCATTCCCCTACTGGACCGTCATGCTGTGGCCGCTTGTTGGTGGCGCCGTCATGGCCAACCTCCCTCGCATTGGACTTCCGGCCGTCTCAGCGGAGTATGAACACATGTACCTGGTCTCTTACTTGGGCTTTGCGGCGATTGTCTACTTCCGCTGGGCTTATCTCGTCACGACGAGCATTTGCAACTCTTTGGGCATCAACTGCTTGACCATCCCTTACGAAAAGCAGATGGAGAACAAGAGAAAGGCAGCCGGTATCATCAACGGCTTGCGCCAAAGAAGGATTAATTGAGAGGGAGAAAGCATGAGGAGTAGTAGAGAAGAATGAAACCTTCATATGCATCGGGATCGGGAAGAAGAGCAGGACTGTCTTCGTTAGCAGCGGGTCGGTCGTGGGCTGGGATTTGACTTTCTAAAAAGGTGGTTGGCATTGCATTGCATCCTAGCATGGCGTTTTTGCGTGTGTTGTCTGTCATGATGGCGTTTAAGCCCATGCCTCAACGGTCAAGGGGTAACGGTTCTTGGCGATATCCTCTGGAGAGGGCCTGGAGTAACTTCTCTGCATATATACCTGGATGGGATTTCTTCCAGCACAGATGTGCTGCTCGAAGCAGGTCGGGTTGTTGTCGTTGTGTCGTAGTAGATAGCGAGAGGTTTATTAATCGTTTTTAATGTACATAGTAGTAACAGCGAATCAACTACGCTGGATTTCCATAGAGATTAAAGAGTTAGAAGAGAAGACAAATGAATGAATGATATGGGTATGGATGAAAGATAAGATTGATATGATAAACGTTGGGGAGTGCCAAGCGGGTGAACCTGGAGGTTGGATGGAGACCGTGGACCTTCCCCACACTGTGCTTGACCCCCCCCTGCGTTGGGCGTGTGCAGGGGTCACTAACGGTTAGGGGTAAGAGCCGGGGAAGCTGACGGCTGCTCTCGACACCTTTCCATAACTGAGTGCTTCAGACTCATATATATAGTCCTCTGCTGAGCTTGAGATTCGGACCGCTTTTTTTTTTTTTTTTTTAGCACGATGAGGGGACATACAATGCGGATTCGATAGCACCGATTCAAGCATCTGCTCACCCCATCCAGCCCATTCCTTCCGCGTTGTCATCATCATCATCATCAACTGTTGTTGCTCTCACCACCACCTGTCAAGATGACACGCCTCACGCTATCCCATCTCTTGTTGCCCTTTCTCGGGGGCACAACGGCAGGATATACCACACTCTCGGACGACACACTCCGGCATATATCCTCCCCCCTTTCGGCGTCATCGCCGTCGGAACTGGACCCGTTCGATGGCTCCCTCCTCTCACCAATCTTGATCCCCCGCGTCCCGAGAACGCCAGGACACGCGGCTGTTCAGGCGCATTTTATTAATTACATCAAGTCTAACCTGTCGCCGGAGTGGACAATAGAGTGGCATAACTCGACGTCAAAAACGCCGGCAACGGGGGAGAAGCTGGTGCCGTTTCAGAACTTGATCATCAGGAGGGATCCGCCCGGGATGACGAGGGAAAGGGAAGGGGAGATGGAGAGGTTGACGCTGGCGGCGCACTATGATAGTTTGTATCGGCCGGAGGGGTTTATAGGGGCGGTGGACAGTGCGGTGCCTTGTGCGGTGTTGTTGTGGGTGTTGAAGGAACTGGATGGGGCGATGGGGAAGAGGTGGGGGGAGTGGGAGGATGATGGGTTGGAGAGGGGGAAGGGGGTGCAGGTTGTGCTTTTTGATGGGGAGGAGGCTTGGGTGCAGTGGAGTGGGGAGGATAGTCTTTATGGGAGCAGGTGAGTGATACTAAAGGGGGGAAGGGGGATGTGGCTGACGTGAAGATAGGGCTTTGGCGGAGGATTGGCAGAATGAAAGGTATGAGGATGGGAGTTCGAGGCTTGATACGATTAGTTTGTTTGTGTTGTTGGATTTGTTGGGGGCGGCGGATCCGACGGTGCCGAGTTTCTTTGGGAAGACTCATTGGGCGTATCAGAACATGGCCAAGGTGGAAGAGAGGTTGAGAGGGTTGAAGTTGTTGGAATCGGAGCCAAAGGCGGGAAGGTTTCTTCATGACTCCGAGAGATCGAACTGGAACTTTGCCGGGTATGTCGAGGATGACCATGTGCCGTTCTTGAGGAGGGGGGTGGAGGATATCTTGCACATTATCCCAACGCCGTTTCCTAGGGTGTGGCACACCATGGATGATGACGTCAAGAACTTGGATGTGGCCACGGTGAAGGATTGGGCAAAGATTGTGGCTGGATTTGTGGGAGAGTGGATGGATTTGGAGGGACACTTTGAGGGTGTGGTGCCGGGAACGGAAGATGAGAAGGGTAGGTATTTTGTGAAGGACGAGCTCTAGATGCCCATGATGATACCTTGCACAAAAACAAGAATTGAGAGCTGATATGTCGGTGAATAGAGAGCCCTGCATTCACGGTGTTGGTGCGGTCGTCACTGGTCTGGCTTGGGGCTGGTTGCTTGGGACTGTTGCTCCTGCCGTGAGATATCTGGGAAGGAGCGAGCCCACAGTTCATACAACCGAGTTGAGGAACACTTTCCGTCAACAAATGGCAACCCCTCCATGGTCCTATGACTTAATGGACGGGATAAGAAAAGAGGTCCTGACCGCTCTAGAGTTCAGGTTCGACTCCAGGGCGGGTCATTTCAGGATCAAATGGGTCCGTTGCCCTCATCAGATGGATCTGATCTCAACGAGCGAGCACAAGCAACAAGAAACCGGGCACTGACGCCATATCTGCAAGAAACCGAGGACCGATGCCATATCTGATACTATACAACTGTGAGCAGACATGGCCTAAGAATCAAGGGCTCTCTCTACTCTGTCATCCTCATTGAGATGACATGATGCTGAGCAAGAGCAAGAATAACACCCCTCTTAGCCCAGCTGAAGAAGGGATTCTAAAGAAATTGTCCCCTGCCCTGAAAGGGTCAGTGGTGATAATAAAAAACAACCCCATACTGCCAGCCAGGATGGCGGTAACTCAAAGGAAAATAAAAAGAAACCAAATTAAAAAACCAAACTGCAAACCTACAGGGTTTTCGTAGCTGACACCCTTCCAAAACATTGGAGAGGTGTCAGTGAGCTTTTTCGCATTTTTATACTTCTATCTTTTTTTTTGAGATTGACTATGTTCCTTCTTGCCCAATTTCTTTCTAATAGATAATAAAAAGATATTGTGAAGGTTAACCTAGACTGATATTTTAACCTAATGTAAGTAGCACAGTCCTATGGTATTGAAGGCGCACTGTATGATCCTTGTCCCGCTTGGGTTTGTGGGGCAACTAGTAGGGGTTTCGACCCATGACGACAAACCGTTGAGTCTGCGTGGACTGTGCGACAGGTCTTTTTGATTGTTCTCTCTTGAGCAACATCTTTGTAACACGAATACCTTTAGCTTTCAGCCTACCTACAATACTGTTGTTATATTGCCTACCGCCAGCCTTGATCCCGCTGTCTTTTTCTGTAAAGCTATCCTTGACATCAAGCATCCCACACAAGAACCAGCGCGTCGCATTGCATCGCATCGCATCGCATCCAAGTCGCAAACTCTATCCAAAGACCCCAAGACCCCAAGACTGCACTGCCGTCATCCCCAACTTTCCAGTAACTGCCGGTGTCGCACGCCCCTCACCTTGGAGCGCATATTGCTCTCGCCTTCAGCTTGAACTCTTGGGCTTCAACCGATAAGGTAGCACCTCCTAAATTAGCTACATGGCATCCGAGAACGAGCACCGCGCCCAGGCGCAACATGAGCCGGCGCAAGCAGCAATACTCGACAGCAATAAATCCGAATCGCTAGCAAACATGTCTGTGGCAACCAACGGCCAAGCACCTCCCCGACGTAACCCCCTATTCGACGACGACGACGACGACGACGGCGACGATGTAGCCTCCACAACCTCCTCCTCCAACCACGACACCGTGACTGTAACCTCCCCTCCATACTGGCACTCAACATCCCACCCCCCAAACCACCCTGCCTCGAACGGTCTCCGCCCTTTATCCACCGCCTCCATCGAATCCGTCCTCCCACCCGGGGCGATAACCCTCCAAGACAACGAATCCGACCTCCCCTCCTCCCACTTCCCATCCACATCCCCAACCACGCCTCAAGACCGCAACCGCTCCTGCTGGGCGAGATCGGTGACAATAACGGATTACATCACGATCAACACTTCCTCGACCAACATCGGGGCTTTCACAGTCTGGAATATTTCGGTAGAGACGCTAGAAGGGCCGAGGATAAATATTAGGAAGCGATACAGCGAGTTTGATGATTTGAGAAAAAAGTTGATCATGACGTTTCCTGGGTTTGAGGCTGCGGTGCCGGAGTTGCCGCCGAAGAGTTTGGTCAAGAGGTTTAAGACTGGGTTTTTGGAGAAGAGGAGGGGGGGGCTGCAGTATTTTTTGAATTGTATACTGTTGAATCCTGAGTTTAGTGGGGCGCCGGTGGTGAGGGAGTTTTTGTTTAGTTGAAGGGGATCAAACTGGGAATGGGGTGGGGAAGGGGGGTTAACATAAAGAGTTGGATAATGGGATGGTATATGGGGGGGGGTTAAAGGCTGGTTGAATCCTGTTTGTTGTTTTGGGTCCTTGGGTGATATGCGAGGACGTTGGGCTCACGTTGAATATCACAGGATTGATGTGGATAGAGTCTGACGAGTAAACTTTGGATATCACACGGCGCGGCGCGTGTGTTTGCCAGGAATATAGTTTGGCATATTTGGCCGGGCTGAAGAAAGGGAATGGTAGGGGGGAGTACGCCAACCTATAATCCTGCAAGGAAAAACAAATCATCTTCCCTTCCTAGGCAACGGAACGATTTTGGGTGGTGGTATTGATTGAGAGGTCTTCAAGGCCGCCCTTGTATATACAGACAACAGCGCTTGGTGATACTTTGCGCGCCGTGTCATAATTTTGTACATATAATTACGAGCTGGGATCAAGGTCACGAGTTTCTGCTCATTGACATCTGCCTTGATAAAGTCTTTAAGGTATGCCCAAGTTGCAGGCATACTTAGAGTAACACTAATGTCAAGTTCTTGTTGGACTAGGCTGAGAGACAGTTGCATCAGATCGATGATATGCGTGTATACTTTATACATATTCGACTCGGCATGGGGACGATGATTCGAACTTCAAATGTTCTGATATCACGGGCAAGGCCGGGACGAGAGAGGGGATGAAATAACAACATTGGCCAAATTCCAACCTCTAAACATCATTCGACACCTACGTCCATGAAAGATATATACGCTTGCTGATGACTACATCCAGCCTAATATCACTCACCTGAAGCCAGATACCTACCCTGCAACCGTTTCAAGATGAAATTCCAACTGATATCCTCGGCAAACTGATACCCTCGGCACTTGCCTCCCTCTTGAGCAACAATGCCTTTGCTCAAACCCAGTTCCCAAACACCAGAGACCTACTAATCATCCGCACTACTACCATGGGGGGGGGGGGGATACACATTCCTCCTCCGGGTGGTCAAGCTTCAAACCTCTCCCGCAGCGTCGACAACCCTCTGAACCAGGAATTCTACAACAAACCCCCAAGGTAGGCCAACCTGGTCAAGAAGTTATGTTCATACATACCACTCCTCACCCACCCCATCAAAACCCCCTACTACACCAACCTCACCTATCTTACGCCGAGGACGACCCGAATAATCTTCGCCATCGAAAACCCCGAAATGAGCTCTCTGCGGGCCGGCATGGGCCGACAGAATGGCCAAGTAACAAACATTGGACAGTTCGTAAAGAATCTTCGCAGCTGGACAAAAGCTGTTGGTGGATAGATGGCAAAAGTACATACGTACGGGGTCAAACAGAAACCCAATTTCGGGGTGGAGGAGGAGAAGGAGGAGAGTGGACATCGTTTCGAAACCACTACTAACCCGGTCAGCAAGCTGCAGAGGGATTTTGGAGCCTTATGGGAGTGTGGAAGGTGGTAGGTGTCGGACCCATGAAAGATGAAATGCTGGCTTTCGTTTATGATGGAAGGATAGAGAGGTGTGTGTGTATGCGGGTGAGGTGCTGCTAGCAGCTTGCCAGCAAAACTTCACACACACGGCTTTCATATTCATCCGAGAGTCCCGGCCACGGCTACGGGGGGGCTTGATTATATCGAACAGGGAGGCCGAGTGGGAGGAGGCGTGATTCGCCAAGAGTGTCTTGTCAGGTTCACCAACACTCCATCCATCCATCCATCCATCCAGTGGCCTCGGTCGACAAGCCCTACTGCCGCTGGGGAAGTACGGCTGCCTACCCCGGGGACGATGCCACCACCGACGCAAGCCTCCCACCATGGAGAGGAGCCCAAGGGTCATGGGAGACTCATTCTGGTCTCTGTTTGGCCACAACGTCCCCTGACTGCAAAGCGAGTCGAAAGTGATTCCACCCGGAGCAAAGGCTATCCGGCGGTAGTCGACTCCTCCCACCCCCATACTACCATCCCATACCCCATAACCGTCTTGTTTTGCTTTTCCCACATGATTCCCCTATTTCCCGCAGTCCTCGATATCCACAATACCAATACCCCCAAGAAACACTGACGCAAATAGTGCAGACATTTGTCGAGCATGATGACGGGTTCACCATGCAAATATGGGAACCCTACCCACGCTGCCCAGATCTAGATCGTACGGCAAACACTTTGTTAAAATGAGCCAGGACTTGTCGATCCCCGCAAAGGCAGAATTGCCACCAGTTAGCATGCCCGGCACCGACATCGTTGACGTTGGTCTGCGTATATATGTAATGAAAGGGAGGGTTTCGCGAGGCGGAGAGGGTTGGTTGCCCAGAAAAAGAATGGGAAGATCAGATCTCGAGGACCCTGCATGAGCCCTGACCATCGGCGTGTTTTGATCGGTTGGAATCCACACCTGGCCCTCCCAGGAATCTTGTCGCGCGCACCAGCATCTTTCTTCGTGTAAAGGAACCCGGCCAGTTAGCTACACTCTGTAGCAATCACGAAAGGATTTGGAATCGCTGCCGCCACAAGTTCTGCTCATGCCGACTCGGGCGTTGGATGCCGGCACCGAGGGGGCTGGAAAACTGCTTAGGTATTCAGCCTTCCCGATAACAAGGATCTCGACTCTTTCTGATAAGTGTAGCTTCGTGGGTGGTGAAAGGTGAATGGCCCACGAGTACCCGCTTGCAGGGAAGACAGTTCGAGATTCCACCCTAACAAATCCCCTACAGGCTTGGCGATCAACAGTTAAGAACGGGGGGTTATTGGAGTAATGGGCTTCTGCTGAAAGCGGTGCGTCGACAACACCGAATTGTTAGGCCCCTGGGCCCTGTAACACAGAACAGTTAGCTGACTAGCAGGGGTTATAAAATAGTAGTCTGGGGAGGGCTAGGGGGGTGAGATGGCGTGTGTGTCCAGCAGCTCCGGCCACAGCAGGGGTACAAGCCGTGCCTCTCCGCCCCCCGTGCTCTCCCAATCCTCGACACGACCCTTCCCCGTGCGGTGGTCGGCGATATTGCTTACTGTGGTGCAGGGGTAAGTTTTGCCTTCTTGTCAAGTACTCGCGCTAGTCAAGGTCCACCCTGACGATTGTATTCTACAAAATAATCACCATATCTATAGCTAGTATTTTGTATGCATACCATTCGCTGCAATTACTGCCTCACACCGACTGGGCATCGAATCCAACAGCGTTTGAAGGTAAGATTCCGGAAGCTCTTGCCAGGCCTCCTCCACGTACCTCTTCAACTTCGCGTACGACGGCTTCTCCTCAAGGCCGTATTTATCCTCAATATAATCCTTCATCCAATTCCAATAGGATTCAATAGGGTTTAAATCTGGGGAAAAAGGAGGCCAATCAACTACTCTAATCTTCCTATTCTCAAGATCCTTCTTCGTACCGGCCGCTCGATGGCCAGGTGCGCCGTCCTGCATAAAAGAAAGCTGTAAATGGTGTTGCTCGAAGGTATCGTTAATAAATTCGTGGACGTTAGGAAGGATATTCTTTCGGTAAGAATACTCATTGATCGATCCCCATTCCTTTTCCCAGAAGATACCAGGGCCTTTAGTTAAGCCGTAAAAGCAGCCCCAGAACATCCACCCTCCTTTTCTCTGGTGCTTTTCAACGATACAAGTAGGGTCCCATTCCTCGTCGATTCGGCGTGTAACATACTACTTACGGTGAGGACCACCAACTACCCAGGTTTCGTCACTCCAAAGGATTATACGCCATTGTTCGAGAGTCCAGTCTTTATGTTCTATAGCCCAGGCCAGTCGCTTTTGCTGGTTGGCTTCTGAAATAGGAGGCTTCTTCCGAGCAACTCGACGGCGAAATCCGTGGCGGTAAAGGGCGTTGCGAATCGTAATCCAGTTAAGAAGGGAGTTGAAAAGGGCAATAGAAAGCTCCAGGAAGCTCATCCGACGGTGTGCCTTTGATTCACACACATACCGAATAAGCTCGAGCTCTTGATCGGCCGTAATAACGCGTGGTCGGCCAGATCGTGGGGCGACCTCGGCCGCCGGGGCTCGTATCGCATGGCGGATTTGGTATTTCGTATAACCAGTGGTTTCTTGAATTCGGGGTTGGCTAAGGTGGCCGTCGAAATAAAGGGTACGAATTCGTTGACGCTCTTCAGTAGTAAGGTGGCGATTGGGAGCCATTGTGGTGCTGGCTGGCTGGCTAAGTGGTGTTGAAAGGTGGAAAATACTGGTTTGGAGGAAATTGCGGTAGAATTTTGGCCGAAGTTGGCCTAGCCAAAAAAACAAGGCCCTGGGCGGTACTTGACAAGGGGGCAAAACTTTTGTACGTAACCACAGTATTGTTGGGAGCCTTCCCATCATCTCAAGACAAAACAGATCTGGAAACCACCCAGAAAGAAATTTTCATCAGAACCATCCCTCTCCAGGTTTTCCTCCTCGTCGCCAGTCAGGTCAACACCAGGCAGCAAAATGAGCGCAAGCACAGCTGCGGCGGTGTCGTGCGTTGAGTGCCAAAGACGAAAGCAAAAGGTAAAGTCTGGTGAAAGCACCCTCGCAACGGCCCGCGCTGCATTAGAGTCGGATCGTTGGATCGTTGGTTAGGTAGAGATTGACTGACAGCTCGATCCAGTGCAACAAACAGTTCCCCTGCAATCATTGCCTGAAGCGAGGAGTCTCGCACCTCTGCCGCTTTGTATCCAAAGGGGTCGGTTCCAAGTCAAGCAAAGAGGATACTGTTATCAACGACAACCAGCTAAGGTGAGTAAAGGACGGGGAAGCCCGTTGTGTCTCTCGTTGCTAACCCCTATCTTCCACGCGCCGTCAGGACATCGAAGAAGCGGAGTTTAGACAGCCCAGACTACGGTGACGCTTTTGACGGAGACGCAGACTTTGACAATCAACACTCTGCGGCTGAAGTCAGCGATGCTCTGAATGCCCTCGGCTACATGCCTCATGACCATCATCTGGTCCTTGGCAATGGAAGCGGCCCCAAAGTGAGCAGCTTTTTACCACGTTCCGTGCGCGCTGGAGACTGCGAGACCGACTGACCATTCAATAGCCAGGTAAAGATGTTGTCGAGGATGAAGCTGAGCCGTCCGAAGAACTCAAGGCTGCCCTTGAGTCCATGCCTGCAAAGCCCTACACCGATTGCCTTGTCGACAATTGGCTCAACGGTGCCAACCACCATTACTAGTACGTCCCTGTCCCTGTTAACATCGCCGATGTATCGCACTTGTTGACCAGTTTCCCAAGTGCCCTCTACCCGTCCGAGTTCCGAACCCAATATGATGGCTGGTGGGCAACTCCGCCGAACAAGGTCTCGCCAGAGCTTACCAGCTTGATTCTGCGTGTTTGTGCATGCTCGCTGCATTTCATCATCGATGATAGTGTCAAAGAAAGGCTCGAAACCGAACTGAAGGCCGACGCCGTGACATTCGCCCAACGCATGCACAACGCGGCCGACAAGCTCAGCACAAGCATAGCGCCAGGAAAGGGTGGTCTGATTCACGTCCAGCAGCTCTTTTTGACAGCGTTCTGGTACAAGTCGGCAGAGAAGTGGACTGAAGCATGGCACGCCCTGAGCAGAGCGATTCGTGCTGCCAACGAGATTGGTAATCTTCCCCTCGGCTGAGTCGTTGTTTTCTGGCGGATGAACTGACAGTGAAATAGGCTTGCACAAGGACTCTTTGTCTGAAGGTATGTCCGAGTTTGACCGTGAGATGAGAAGGCGTCTTTGGGGCGTCCTCTACATGTGGGATTTGTGAGTATGCGTCTATATCCAATTCGGAGTACCTCTACTCACAGCTGGTGACAGTGCCCTTGGCTCCATGCTCTCACGCCCCCTACTTGTCAACCATGCCGATTGCACTTTCGTAATGCCAACTCTGGCCCTCGAAATTGATCCCGAGCGGCTCAACCAGCCGTCGCCCTTCCGTCATATGAATTTGCATTGCCAGCTGTGTCTTGCCATGGCAGCCGAGTTTGCTCCTCGCGCCGATGGAAAAGTGGATGAGGCCGACCAGGCCAGAAGACTGCGCGATGTCGTCTATAAGTGGTATGAGGATCTTCCCAAAGAGTACTCCCGCACGAATCCCGACACCCAGTGGGATGAGGAGTTTGATTGGGTTGTCTTCCAGCGCCGATATCTCCATCTGATAGGATACATGTCTCTCTTCAGCCCATTGAAGGCATTCGTCACCCGAAATTCTGGCAAGCCTCTGACGAAGCTTGAATCCGAGCTGCGCGCGGCTGGTGTCCAAGCCGGCCTCGATCTGATGGATGTGTCGTGGAGCTTCTTTGAGAACATGGTTTCAGCCGGTGCAAAGTTCCACTATGCCATCTTTTGCATCTTTGATGCCACGACGGTCATGTGCTCTGCTTTTGTCCACGATGAGGCCCGCACTCTGCCACAGCGCGAGACGGTGCTCGAGGCTATCAACAAGGGTCTCCACATGCTCGAGGAGTCATACGCCGAGTCCAAGACAACGGCAGCCCTGTATCGTATTCTCAAGGGCCTCATCATCAACCTGCCGCTCAGCCCTCAAGAAAAGGGAGTAATCGGAGCTCCGAAACGCAGCAAGCGCACAAATGCCAACCAGACAGGCGACAGTACAGCTGCCGGCTCATCGAACAATGCGTTGGCTAGAAGAATTCTTTCTGATCGTATCTCCGAGGGCGTAGCTCAAGGATCGAATACCGATGGGACACTGGTCGAATCTCAGCTCGGCTCAAATAGCTCTCAACTCGGTTCGAATGGCTCGGTATCGGTGGTGTCGTCGTCATCAAACAACATTCCTTCACCCGAGGTTCCGTTGCGCTCAAACGCCCCCATCCCGTCTGCGAATGGACAGGTTTTCCATGGCTATCGGCCAATGGATAACCCACCACCTTCCAACGGCCATGATCACTTGAGCCATATGCATGCACCAAACATGCAGCCCTCGCCATACTATGGCACAGTCGACCAATTCATGCCCTCAAGCGCAGGCATGGTCCCTTCGAATGGATATTTGGTGACCGACAGCTTCGTACCCAACAGCGGCTTTGTGTCATCGAATGACCTCCAGTTCAGCAATGACCATCATATCTTCCACTCCGGGCCGCTTGACCCCCTTGGCTACACCCAGCCCGCGTGGGAACCGGCCCCTGATGCCAATCCAAACTTCGGTCTGCTCCAAGGAGCGATCCAGGAGGTATCGGAGGATGCGGTGCCTGCTGTGCCCAGTGTGTTGGAGTATTGGGACTGGCAGCAACTTGATCTTGGAAACCCTGGGTATTGGGGGAACCAACAGCCGCCACGGATGTGAACATGGGATCCGGTGTCTCCCTTTAATCGAGGGGGTCTGGCGCTGAACCGGAGACGCAACTTTGCAGCTGGTGGACTAGGCTTTTTTCGGGTGTGGTGTTTTTTAAGCGATGGCGTAGGCGTTGGCTTGTCATGACAGTTCTTTTAGGAATTCGTCGTTAATCGTTGAAAAAGAAGGTGTTTCTTGGATAGAATGACGGGCGATATGGTAAGAAGGGACCTGGAATTTGTTGGAGAGAATCATTGGGGGAGATATTGGCGCCCAAGCTCGGGTTCCTAGACATGGATGGGAAAGTGGCCGGTTTTCGCATGTCTTCTTTGAAAATAATTATTTTATCGATAGTGTCGTTCTGGATTTGTTGTCTTTCTGTCGAGTTTCCTTGAAGTGGTAAATGATTGACAGTTTGTCTCCTTTGGGGGATCGTCGGTCAGAAACCAGGCGAGGGAAGGGACACATCATAATTCGGGGCCCGACGATGGACACATAGGTTTCTCGCATGAATAAAAGCCAGAGCTGAGAGACAGGTGCCCCTCCGAGATGTGATATGGTCAGGGTCCGTAGTCCACCAGCGCTCCGAAGACTTTCGGACCCAGTGGACCCTGGATCGGGATTCGAATTGGTTAGATTTCGGGTTTCACAAGCAATAACGGAGAGATGGGGACCTGCCTGCCGACCTGAGTGATGACTGCATCGAATCGAGATCGTGACTTTGGTCTGTCGAAGCCGGCAAAAAGATTCTAGATCTTCGATAGGTAGTCTGGTTGTGCCATGTGGCTTGAAACCTCATACGACCGTTGTTCTAGCCACGTGTGAATGGAAGCGAATGGCGTCCTGGGAACTAAGTGTGGGTGTGGTTCAAATGGGGCCACTGTGGACGACATCTTGCCCCTTTTGAAATCGGACGAGGGAATATTGGAAGCTGAGGACTGGCCAAGGCCCAAAAGTGAGCTGATGGAGGCTGCAAGTTCAGAAGTTCAGCACATTGCGAAGGCCCAACACCGGCGGGCAGTTCAGTGGGTCCTTCCCACTATGCACGTTATCACCATCAGTTATCGGTGGGGGGGACTGGCCGACATCACTGCTCCTTCAGTGCCACATTGCGAACAAAAAATGGAGACTGAGACTTGAAATCAAGGCCGCGGCAGAGACCAATGCCTTGGAAAAAGAGCCAATAGGCCTTGAATAATGGTCAGAAGATCTTTGAACGACGGTCAGAAATCATTCAATAACGTTGAAAGACATGTATATGGCATTTTATTGCTTTATCATACAACATATCATCTACTTTTTTGTACGTAACGTGTGAGATCGGTGGAGTTGCCCCCGGGAATACACAAGCCATGAGCCGCTGAATACAACGAAGGCGGCATAACTTCTCACCCAAACAACCCCAATGCACGGAAAAATAATGCGACTTTGGCCACCGGCATCCTCCTCCTTAACGGGTGAGCTCCGGGCATACCTTACCAGAGGGGTAAAAGCAGCTTCTCCACTTCTTACAAGATCAACCTCTCGATCTTTGACTCAATCAAGCCGTCGGTGTCTCACATCAACACCATCCTCAAAGTTGAAGATGTCATTGGCAAATGCAAATGCCGAGCAGGGAAATGGTCCTAAACAAAATGCCTGGGTTGGAAGTGCCGGGGCAGCTGGCTATGATCTGAGAAGTGAGTTGACATATGAGGTTCTGAATCAGATGCGTGAAGCTGAAGGCAAACGTGAACGTAGGCGATACGATGACAACACCCACAGCCTCCATGCTTACTGCTATTCAGAACTGCACACTGTTTGATGATGTCTTCCAGGAGGACCCAACTACTATCGATCTGGAAGCTCACTGTGCTGCCTTGACTGGCAAAGAGGCTGGTCTTTTTGTCCTGTCCGGGACCATGGGTAACCAGCTAGCTTTGAGATCTCTTTTGACTCAGCCGCCCCATGGCTTGGTGTGTGACTACCGTTCCCATATTGTCAAGTATGAGGCTGGAGGGTAAGGCAACTTGCACACATTATACCCTGATATCCAGTTTGCTAACTTTATAAACAGCGTCTCCGCCCTGACAGGTGCCACAGTCAAGACAATCGTACCAAAAAATGGCATCTATCTGTCACTGGAAGACATCAAGGCCAATGTCTACCTAGATGACGACGTACACACCTGCCCAACTCGTCTCATCAGCCTAGAGAATACTCTCAACGGCATGATCATGCCACTCCAGGAAGTCCAACGCATCTCGGCTTTCGCAAAAGAAAATGGGCTCAAAATGCATTGTGATGGAGCACGACTATGGGAGGCTGCGGCTTCCGGCGCAGGAAGCCTGAAGGAATTTGCTTCATGTTTCGACACTGTTACACTGTGTTTCTCCAAAGGCCTCGGCGCCCCTATCGGCAGCGTCCTCGTTGGAGACAAGAAGGTTATCAAGCATTCCCGCTGGGTAAGGAAATCAATTGGCGGCGGGCTTCGACAGTCTGGAGTCGTCACGGCAGCGGCCCGGGTTGCCGTTGACGAGACGTTTGGCAAAGGACCAAATGGTGAAGGGGGCTTGCTGCGGGATACGCATATTTTGGCACAGCAGGTTGCCAAAATCTGGACTGATCTCGGCGGTCAGCTTATCCATCCGGTACATACCAACATGGTCTGGCTTGATCTTGAAGATGCCAACTGTCCAGACGCCCGGGTTGATGAGCTTGGAAAGGAGGCTGGCTTGAAGCTCATGGGGGGGAGACTGGTGATACACTATCAAATCTACCAGAACCGCGAGTTTGTTGTTCCTCGTCTAGAATCCCTCTTCAAGACAATTATGGGAGAGAAGAATGGAAACAGCAAGGGCTTGAAGGGGCAAGAAGGAGAAAGGTCCATGTATCGGACATCGCAGTAAAGTGCCGACAAATAGGAAATTTACACATCCCGACACCCTAACAATGTTCACCGATGGATGATTATAAAAGCCGACTTGGATTGTTGATGTCGGTAGCCGAGATCCCTTGCCAAGTCTTCCTTCATGTAGGGCAAGGCCGAAGATGCGGGCCGAACTCTTGCTTCTGTCCATACAAAGTGAGTCCGGAGACGCCGGACTGCCCGATGATTTGGTAACGAGAACACAAAATGAACTCGGTCGAAGAGGACAAGACTCGCAGCTGAATGGTGACTAAAATCACCGACAGGGAATAAGGCAAAGCACGGCAGACCTCAGCCAAGAGGCTAAAGATACCGCCACTGACGATGACCTGTGGCTTTCTTTGAAGACTATAAGGGCCGTGAGGGCTTCCTGGGCGCACCATTTGTGTGAAACAGCCATTTTCCTTACCGCCTCGTGGTATGCGCCTCTGGATGAGGAGCATGCTTCCGCGTCTCTGCAAGCTCTTTACCCCGCCTTAGCCCCAAGGTCAAGAGACCCTGCCAATGGCTGACGTCACCGTGGATCCGCCGGTCCCAGCGAATGGAAGCGCTAGAATAGCTGCGGACCGGGCCTATGCCGGAGCATTGAGAGTGCAGAATGCGGGGAAAGCTCCAAACAAGCTCCCGAAAATCCAACGTCTTGCCGTCTCTATTGACCGACGGAATACAGCCTGGAGCGGTGGACAAGCAGGAATTGCCCGGTTGTGGCAGGTGCTACATGCCTCGAAAGAGCCTCGTGTGGGAGGAATGCACAACCGTTCTCGTCCGGGGCACACAAGCATCAAATTGGCCGCAATGGAGGTTAAGAGGTACCTGATCCGGAACACATCGAATCAATGGATGATGGATCTCAATGCGGCAGAAAAAAAAAGTTGGAGAAACAATGGGCAAGAAAGAGAGAGAGATGACGATCATGAGGAGCACGCCAAGGAAAGCCCACCTTTGACGACAACCTGGAAAAGACATGGGCAAGACACGGAACCTGGAATCTGGGATCGAGATCAGCGTGACTCTGCTGGTATTTCGTCCCAATTCTTCTCTTCGCTTGTCTGGCGTGGCCTGCTATGATGAAGTGGAAGGCACGGCAAGCTTATTGCAACCTTGACTGCATGCAGAACTGGCAGCTGCCCTGCAGAATTATTAAAGTGCTGATTTCTGGGCTTGACGACACCACCATTCCCAGACGCGCCTGCCTCTCTTGTGAGTGCAAGGTGGAAAGTATAGAAGAGAGCAGAAGCCCAAGACGGCTTGCCTTCTGTCCGATCTTGTCACTCCCATCCCCGGGCCCGTCCTCGTGCCCCTGCCGACCCTGCTCCTGCCCGCTCGTGCCCGCTCCTGCCCACTTTATATCTTGTGCCTGTCTGCCCCCCATATCGACCACTCCTGAGTTCCTTCCTGCCCACCCTGCCCTGCTTATTCCTTCTCCCATCACACTGTCCGATCGCCGAGTCAGACTTTCTTCAGCACTGACCGACTGAACAACAACAGCACCCTCACTCCACCCCTGCCTCTTCATCTCACAATTCTAGCCGCATAAGAACCCAACCGTGTGTGAACAGCCTTCACAATGGTACCGCCGGTGCATCGCGGCCTCGTGGCAGGCGCTGCACTCGCGATCTGGGCAACCGCAGTCGTCGCCACCCCTCAGGCTCTTTGGGTAAACGGCTCGGTGGTCGCGCCTTGCGACTCGCCCTTGTACTGCCAGGGTGATGTTCTCAAGGCCATCCAGCTTGCCCATCCCTTTTCCGACTCCAAGACATTCGTCGACATGTAGGTTTCATCGAAAACAATCTTGTCCATGCCTGTCTGAGACATGTTCTAACTGTGGAACGCCAGGCCCACTATCAAGCCTTTGGATGAAGTTCTGGAGGCCTTCAAGCAACTCTCTCTGCCCCTCAGCAACAATACTGAGCTGCAGAACTTCTTCCGCGAGAACTTTGCCCCCGCGGGTGGTGAGTTGGAAGAGGTTCCTAAGGAAGAATTCGAGACCGACCCTGTCTTCTTGGAGAGAGTCGCGGACCCGGTCGTCAGGGAGTTCGTGAGCAAGGTTATTGACATTTGGCCCGACCTCACAAGACGATATGCAGGTGGTTCCAACAACTGCACAGGATGCGCCAATTCTTTCATCCCCATCAACCGCACCTTTGTGGTTGCCGGTGGCCGGTTCCGTGAGCCGTACTACTGGGATTCCTACTGGATTCTGGAAGGTCTCCTGCGCACCGGTGGTTCCTTTGTGGACATCTCCAAGAACATCATCCTCAATTTCCTCGACCTGGTGGACACTGTCGGTTTCGTTCCCAACGGTGCCAGGGCTTATTATCTGAACCGCAGTCAGCCACCTGTGCTCTCATTGATGGTCAAGGTGTACATCGAGCACACCAATGATACAAGCATTCTGGAGCGCGCAGTGCCACTTTTGATCAAGGAGCACGAGTTCTGGGCCACTAACCGGACAGTTGAGGTTGAGAAGAATGGCAAGAAGTACACTCTCAACAGGTAAGTCTCTGCGATCAAGCCAAATGAAGGAAGAGAAAGGCTCACAACAAAAATAGATACTTCGTCAACAACAACCAGCCCCGTCCCGAGTCCTACCGTGAGGACTACATTACAGCCAACAACGAGAGCTACTATGCCGAGACAGGTATAATATATCCTGTTAAAACGCCCCTCAACGAGACCGAGAAAGAAAAGGTCTACGCCAACCTCGCAAGCGGTGCGGAATCTGGCTGGGACTACAGCTCTCGTTGGCTTCGCACGCCTCTCGACGCAGCCGAGGACAAGTACTTCCCTCTCCGTTCTCTCAACGTGCTTGAGACTATTCCCGTCGAGTTGAACTCGATTCTCTACCAGAACGAGGAGATCATCTCTTGCTTCCTCAAGCAGCAGGGCAACGAGACCGAAGCCGAGAAGTGGGCTGCCAAGGCGAAGACTAGAAGCCAGGCCATGTACGACGTCATGTGGAACTCAACCCTTTGGTCGTACTTTGACTACAATCTCACATCTGCCTCGCAAAACACCTTCATTCCTGTCGATGAGGATGTCAGAACTAGGGAGACTGGCCCGGCACCTCCTGGACAGCAGGTTTCGTTCCAGATTGGCCAACTGTTCCCGTTCTGGACAGGCGCGGCCCCCAACCACCTCAAGAACAACCCCTTGGCGGTTCAAAGGGCCTATGCGAGAGTTGCGGCGATGCTCGAGGAGAAGGCCGGCGGGATCCCTTCCACAAACTATTTTACTGGACAGCAGTGGGACGAACCTAATGTCTGGCCTCCCTTGATGCACGTCTTGATGGAGGGCCTTCTCAAGACACCACCTACCTTTGGCGAGGATGACTCCTCGTACCAGGCCGTTCAGGACCTGAGCTTGAAGCTCGCGCAACGCTACATCGACTCCACTTTTTGCACCTGGTATGCCACCGGTGGCTCAACCTTCGAGACGCCCAAGCTTCAAGGCCTAGCCCCAGAAGCGAAGGGAACCATGTTTGAGAAGTACAGCGACAACGCCACGAATGTGGCTGGTGGGGGTGGCGAATATGAGGTTGTCGAAGGGTTCGGCTGGACCAACGGCGTAGCTATCTGGGCAGCTGATACTTTTGGCGACAAGCTCAAGAGGCCAGACTGCGGTGATATTGAGGCAGCTAACATCCATGCTAGGAGAGGCGGCGGTCTTCTGCCTCCAGGATTCACCAAGCCTGACAAGAGAGCCGACAAGAAGGAGGATCAGCTCGAGAAGAGAGGCAGGTTCGCCGTCGAACTTGACTCGTGGGATGCCCAGTGGGTGAAGAAGTTTGGAGGCAACAAGGGCCAGAGAAAGTAGGGGACCAACAAGGAACGAATGGGGTTCATCGATGAAGATAAATAATGGTTCTTTTCATGTGTACTTTTTTCCTGTTCAGCCTGTTGTTTGCGGATACCACTTGACTTTAGCTGTATATGCAGAGATACGGAGTACCTTCAGCTTAGGGCGTTGAGGATGTGTACTTATCAAGATGTTAAGATGCTTATCTTGGGAGTTGAAATTCTACGCCTCATGGCTACAGCAGTGACCAAGCTTCTTGTCGGCACTGTGCATTTGCGGGGAAGATCGCAATTTCGTTTTTTTGCAGTTGTGTCGAGAGAACGCCTTTCCTCTCTTGGGCTAACGGTGAAGGTGGTTTGGCGCTATGCCTGCGTGGCGCCGCGATAACGTCCCAATGGTGTGTCTTGTCGGTCAGAGGATTATCCGCCGAAACCGAAACGTGATCCAGACTCCCGTGGATCATTATGCTCTCTGGTTGATGTCTCGGGTCTGGGACCTTATCTCTCGGTGAGGGAGGCAAAGGGTCTAGACAGTTTGGATTCTTCAGCTCTGCAGAGAGGGGGTATGGGTGGTTGCATGCATTTTCGCTTTCGTATGTATGTACAAAACCCCCCCATGCCCCATGCCCAGAATGATCACCCTAGGAGGAGGAAGAGGAGGAGAAATGCTACGGCGCGAACAAGGATGAGGATACTATCTAAACCAAAGAGAAATTGTGGACAAGGATGATCTGCCTCTGCTCGTCTAGGCGCGGGAGAGCAGCGGCGGGATATCACGGTCGCAGTGGTGAGAGAGGTAAGTGGTGGTGGTGCTTGTGGTGGTATTATTGATGTTGTTTGATGCCGAGGTTTTTTTCAACTCTTTTCTCCTTCCTCATTCATTTGTGTTATTTTCGCTGGAATTGAGGTTTTGTTTTTCTGATGAGGTTAGATGATGGTGGATTTGATCGTGCTGGAATAGTACCATTATTTTGCTTCCATCACGCAACAACGTCATTTCCTCCCCCCACCCTCACAGCTTGACTCTCTCCCGGGCGCGTCTGTCGAGGAGTGTTCACCATTTATTATGGCGCCCGGGAGTCGGTCCTCGTCGCGGCTATCGCAGCCGTTGCCGATGATTATCGAGGATGTGGTGCACTCTACCACGCCGCCGCCGGGGGTGCCGCCCAAGTCGCCGCGACGACCACCGGTTTCGAGGTCGAATTCGCAGGGGAGTAGTGTGCACGGTAGTCATCGGTCGAGAACGCCGCCGCCTTTTGGGGCAGTTTCGGGAGGGGTGGATAGGCCGGCGTCGGGGACGGCAAAGATGGAGGTTGCGCAGCGGGAGGTGGTGGGAGGGGGGGGGAGGGATCAGGGACCGGTGGCGAGGAAGGGGTGGTATAGGAAGATGTTTGGGGTTTTGCTGGTCGTAGGGGTGATAGTTGGGTTATCGGTTGGTTTGACCATCGGGTTCGCAGAAAACCGGTTCGTCCTTTTTTTTCTTCTTCTCGGTCTTCTTCTGCTTGCCATTTTATAACTAATATATCTTGTTCTATATAGAAACCAATCCTCCCAATCCGACTCCCCCTCCCCAACGAACCTCTTCCCCTCGGGGTCTTACACCTTCACTACTGCTCTTCTAACTAATACCTCCACCGCTTGCCTCACCTTTCCGTCTCTGGCCACCGCCTGGCAGTGCTACACCTCCCCAGAACAACAACCGCAACCACGGTTACTATCAGCAGCGATATTCCACTGGACGATAACCCCCTCCCCGAGATCAGGCTATACCATCTCCTCCACCCCATCCCACACCACCGGTCCGCAATTCCAAAACCTGACACTGACACACCTCGATATTAACCAATACAACGAACGTTTTGTCTTTTCGCTTATCTACCCCAAGCCAGTCACTTTGTCGATTCCTACCAATGGAACAGAAGGGGGAGGAGAGGAGAGGATACAATGCTGGTTTAACACTACTGTTTTGTCAGCGGCGATATACACCCGGCAGAGGGCCTCTTGGCCGGAGGATTTGGGGGGGGTTATTCTGACGGAGATTACGGGGAGGGCGGGGAAGGAAGAGGAGGAGAGGGTTTGGCCTTTTTTGGTGGAGGTTGGGGAGGTGCAACAAGGTGGTGAGGATGGGGAAGGGGGTGTGGTGCCGGATTGTTATAGGGATGGGAGGGGGGTTGACTTGGGGGGGTTGTTTGGGGGGAAAGATAATGGGACTGCTGGGGGGATTGATGGGGCGGAGGGGGAGTGTGGGTGTTGGTATAAGAATTTTGAGTTGGATGGGTTACGGGGAAATGGGACGGTAGTGGAGAGGTTGAGGAGAGGGAGGTGATTTCTGGGTGGTGATCCGAACTGGGACTCTGGTGCGCGATATACAGTCAGTTTGGTGATGCCGCCAGTGGCTCCAGAGATCTGTCGAGCAAGCTATCTTTCCAGCAAGGTATTTCTCCAGCAAGGGGCGGTTTTCGAAAAGTTGAGGAGTGATGATACCCACGCGGTTGATACTTCGGACTGCGAGATGGAGGAGATGCCCCCATTCGTTTTTATTTGTTGAGCTTTTAGCGGGTTATTGTCATTTCTGGTATGGGAGGTTGGGATCAAGTCATGGAGTTATAACAAGGAATGGCTAACAGGACAAGGGGCATGGGCAGGTACGCCAGGCAACAAGGGACACGTATGGATAGCATGGAGTTCAAACGGTATGTATTTTGGGCATTGATACACAGTACATAGTGTAGATATAAGTAAACGTATTTAATATGACATTTTTGTACATATCCTGCAGCTCCAAACCCAAGACTCTGTCCGTAGGTATGTTAGCTAACACGTGGGCCCTGATTTGTTATCGTGGTATTCTTTTCTTTTCCTTTGCGTGCATTGCAACCGCCGAGTATATCCGGACGCACCGGAAAACTTGTTTACTGCGTCTTCACTGTTCAGTATCCCCCTCACATGTTTCGGTGTTAGCAGGTCGTATTTGTAAGGGCTGTATGTAGTCCGAGCCTTGGCGATGCAAGTCAGGGGTAATCAGAGTAGGGGACTTTTGGCTATTGTTGTTGCTGTTGCATGTTTGATCCAAGATCTGTTCAGTCAGCAACGCACATGTTCTTGGTTTCAATATTTTGTTTCTTTTTTGTCTGTACACTGTGCCACATGTTGTGTTGCAGTCGATCCTCTGATGGACATCGTGGACCGGAGTTAACTGTGTTGGCGAGAGGCGGGATCGAAATGAAATATGTGACAATAGAGAGGCCAGTTGGTTGATCTTTTGGGGGCATATTCCGGGGCATGAGACACAACACGGGAAGCGTCCATGTGCTGGATTGTGCTGTGGAAGGATGATGTTCGGTGTAGTGACAGGCGAGGCTGGCAGGTGGCGTCTGTATGAATGGCTGGAAATGCAGAAGTTCCCGAACTGAAGCCGGAGAGTTTCATTTTCGTGACGTCGGTTACATTCGCGGCCACGATGCGGGGACCAATAGGTGGCTGTCTGGATGTAAGATCCCATACTGAAGGGTCCTAGAGGTACGATTGGAACTACCCCCAAAGATGCCATCTCTTCTTTGGTGGATTGACATGGCTCTGGTCAGTAATAGGCCCAGCTCTGGAGATACCATTGATAAACCCCATCTAGAATGACGAGCGCCGAGTATGTCCCTTGTAGACACAAGCCAACCGATCTCGCGGGAGATGTAGGTACAATTAAGCTTAAGTCCGATCCATCTTGTGGTAACCATGAGCTACGGCCCAGAGTTCGGAGTTTATTGTTGTCACAGGGACCGAAAAGGAAAGACGGAAGATGATGTAGGTGATGGGGAACTTCCCTAACGCTGTATCGAGAGGTTCGGAGGTTCTCCTTGTTCAAGGCAAAGATGGCTTGTCATCCGGGAGCAAGGCCGGCGGCTTCCCACAACATCATGTCTGTCCAAGACACAAGTAGGAAAGCTTGTTGTAACTCTGGTCACGAAAAATTGCAGGAGAAAAGTGGAAAGAGGGATCCTCGCGCCTGGTTGAGCGGGAATAATGTGGAAGGTGCCGCCACCCCTTGAGCAACCCAAAAGATGGAAGGCGGGCTGCCTGCTGAGATTGGACGTCGACCACGCTGACGCTTGAACTCCCGTTTCAACCAGACAACCACCACTCGAACTCATCTTATGCTATTATCGTGTTCATCTCTACAGGCACCTGTAGAGTCCACCATTGTCAACAGCAATTAGTATAACAAGCCATCGCCATCCTTATCCACGTCTCGGAGATCTGATCATGGCCGCCCCGGACAGGAAGCAGCCTCCGTCATTGGACCGACACCTCGAGCGGCAGATCTTCACCACCGTCGACAATGTTCAGTACTTTGTTCATCCACAAAGACTGGGACGTGTCGGAAACGCATCGAAGCTACGAGACATCGTACCTGTAACTGGCTTGACTCTCGAACAATACCAAGACGAGTCATGTATCTCAACTCTCGAGAGATTTGTCGTGGCTGATGATGTCTACACGACCGGATTCGGTCACAGGATTGTCACCATTGACCACCAGGACCCAACAGTTGACGCCAAAGCTGGCGCGGACAACAAGTTCCCACTACATGTGGTGCACGGCTTGATCCTTGAGGACTCGGAACATCCGGTGAGACCGGGGCCCTACTTCTTATACAACGAAGGGCTCCATCAAGCCTGGAGGCTCTATCCTGATAGCCTCCGTGCCTTCAACTTTGGTGTCTTTCCAAAAAGTCTTCACAAAGCTGAGAATAGGTATCTAGTTCCCCTAGTTTCCTAGGTCCATCTGTCGATATGGCAAGAGCATTTGGCTGACATGAGGTGTTCAACTAGTGCATTTGGACCTGTCACTGCTTTGTCTCAAGATGGACTTCACAAAGCCATAGCCGTGCCCAGCCGACTATACTACTCCGATCCTTCGCCCGAGAAGCCCCTGGCCGGTATGCGATTTGTTGTCGACGATTTTTTTCCAGTGGAGGGAGTAAAGACTACGTTATCAAGTGAATCATGGACGTCCTTCTATCCCCCCTCCTCAAAAACGTGCCACCTCATCAAACACTTGATCGGGTTGGGAGCCATAATGGTCGGCAAAACCAAAGTATCGCAGTTTGGCATTTTACACTCGGCCTGGGTCGACGTTTCTAGCCCAAAGAATCCCCGTGCAGACGGCTATCAAGAGGCATTGGGAAGCTCGCCCGGTGCTGGCTCGGCGCTGGCTGGCTACAAATGGATTGATTGCGCGGTTGGAATCGACACCCTTGGTGGCTTCATGGAAACAGCTGAATGGTATGGGCTTTTCGCCCTTCGTCTTAGCTCTTCCGGTGTACTTTTCGCTGAAACGGATATGCCCTCCATGCGACTGAGCGCCATTGCCTTCATGTCACGATCTCTGAAATCGGTCCAACAAGCTGTAGAGGCATCCATCAGTAGAATCGAAACCGCGTTAACACACAAGAACTCCTCCACACCGCCAACAAACATCGTTTACCTGGGCCACAGGTTTTCAAAACCAAATCTTGAATTATCTCTCCACTTAGCGAATCTCGTCGACATACCAACAGAGGAATTTGACATGGAAACAAGTTGGGCAACGCGATCACCACCAAAGGCCCCGTCTCAGGATCCGCTTCATAACTACATGGAAGACTGCGCATGGAAGGCCTACTGTCATGATTTTGGCCAGAGATACTACGAGTCTATGGATGACTATGCTTATAAGAATCCATCCGCCGAGACGAGAGATCTACTCAGGCTTTATTGGGATGATGCAGTTGAATCCGTCTGGTAAGAGGCCCGCGATAATTTTCTAATATCCTTGTCAAGTTTATTCATGAATCTATTCATGTCCGATTGCATCTCAGACCGTAGCTAACTCTTGGGAACGCGTCTAGGCGGGAAGTGGATAATCTTTCAAACGAGGACCGGGGAAACTGCTATGCTCGGATAAGAGACTTTGCAGAGTGGTTTGATAAATCGATGGAGTCTCTTGAAGAGCCGATTGTACTGCTGCCAACGGTGGCAGGCCAACGTCCAAGGTCACGGGTCTATTCTCCCAGCAGCTACGCTCCGACAGCTCACCGTATGACAAACTGGGACGACACCCTGGCTGCCATTCTGGAACGACCTCAGGTGATTCTGCCAGTGGGGAGAATATCCTTCTCTTCCGCTATCAGTCGCGCTACAGAAGCGCTACCCCTTTGCATTTCAATGATGGGTCGAAGAAACACGGAATTGGAACTTCTTGACTTTGTGACCAATATCATGGAGGGAAATAAGTTGCAGGTTGAGGTGGAGGTTGGGAAGGATGCTCTACCTCAGGCAAAGGAGACCTGGCAATTTTTTAAAGCGTCTGATTCGGATGGAGATGAGGAGGCATCGAGTGAGAAAGGTGGTGACAAAAGTCCGCCGCCTGGAGAATTGGATGGATCGGAGAGCGAGGGTTCGCCCGAAGATGATGAGCAGTTAGGGATACAGATGTCGCTTGAAGAAGACCATTAAGAGAGGGAAGAAGTTCGAGAGAGGGAAGAAGCCCTAAAGGCGGGGGGTTGAGAGATATTGCTTGGACCGGGAAGTTTATTTTGTTTTCTGTAGGGAATAGCGCTGTGGCTTTATGAGTAGCGGTGTTGGCAATTAGACAAGGGGTGTATTCAGGCAGGGAGGATGCTTAACTGCTGTCTAGAGCTTTGTCTATGTTCATCCGTGACGTGAGGGTGTCTGTTAAGGGGTGAGTATCCATGATTTATCCCGTGAATACTTGACCAGCTAGCTGAATTTGTTGAAGGCAGTAAAATACTGAACCGAAGGGGTGATATTTTACATGGTAGATACGCCTGGAATAACGAGCGAGTGGTGTTGCTGATTGAGTCATTACGTCAAGCAGGATGTTGTGGAACTTGGTCATGGTTGCACTTTTGAGGTTCTTTTCATCTCCATGTGCAAATATTACCCCCTTCCCGCAACATACCTATTGCAGCATCATCACGAATCTGTGAGTTCAATGCAAGGCGTCAATCACTTTGAGTTGCATGCACACAGGTTTCACTCAAGAATCACACAACAAGGTAAAAAAACAAACCCAGGCTTTTTCTTGGCTATCTCCCTGGGATCCAGCTCCCCCCCAGTCCTCATTATCCTCATGATCCTCATAATTCCCTGCCGTCCATCATCAATCATGCCGTTTTCCTTGTATCTGTTAACGCCATGCCCCAAACCACCGCCATAAACCTGCTAACTCCTCGCTCGAAATCTCAAATGCATGCTGATGTCTGATGAATTCCCCCCCCCCCCCCCAACTCTGAAATCTCGAGTCCATGCCCTTTTGCTGTCCGGATATAAACCCCCTTATGCACACCAGGAAAAATGCTAAATATGCTGTAAAACCTTCCAGATGACCCTGATGATGCCCTCGGACGGTGAAAAAGTTGACCAAGAAATTGCCCCCATATTTCCTTTTTTTTTTGTTCTTTTTTTGCTTCTCATTTTTTTTTTTTGCTGTTTTCTGATCCGTTAAAGACAGAGCCACACTTATCGAACAGCTCCCTTCCTCCTCCCTTCCTTGTGGACGACCTGGAATCAGACTGCTCACAACCACCGCCTAGAGTGGCCAGCAGGAACCAACTCCCAAATCTCACGCTCCTTGAGCTCCTCCCAGGCTTCGTAGTCGACCCGCTTGTCTGGAATCGGGTGGTCCAGGTCAAAGGGACGCAGCATAGGCGTGTTGAAGGACCAAATGCACTTCTCGACCCTTCCGTGAATCAAGGCATGAATCGACTTGTCACCCTGGTTCTGGTAGTAGCGCCTGAGGTCCCGTCCAAGGTGCCACATTCCGTTCTTTGAATAATCCTTTGGCCCGGGGAGACGCCGAATCTTCTCCCACTCCTTTGCAGCGGCGATCCTCTTCTGGGCCTCGGGATCGGTGATCTGCTTCGCGAGTCCGTTTCGACGGATATACTCCTCAAAGAGAGTCGTACTGGCTTCCTCTGACCACTGGAAATTGGCGTTAAAGCTTTCGGGAGGCTCACCGCCGCAGATCTCGGTGTCTTCCCAGTCGGAGATTGGGTGCTTGAAGGGATCCTCATGTTGAGGACCACCCTCCCGGTAATCAAACGCCTGCTCTGGCCAATTATGTTTCCACCGATAACGTGAGTAAGCGGCGGTGTTCCTGTGTAGGTTGGGTGGCTCGGGGGGGTACACCACCGGATCGGTCGGGGAGAAGTTCATAAACTTCAGCCAGATAGAATCGGCTATCTTGGCCGCCCCGAGAGCTGCCGTCAAGTGTCGACCTCGGGCCGGGTCAATGACATCAGTCAGTGACCCCTTCTTTATGTCCAGACCCTTGAGGTAATACCCAATAGCGCTTTGCTTCCAGCGGCGAAGGTCGCTGCTCTCCATGTCCCTGACGAAGGCGACCATCTTGCAGCCCCAACAATCATCGAGTTCGATTGCAAACAGGACGCGGGGCAGGAGTTTTTTGCAGCCTTGACATAAATACTGCCGACGCCAGTACCCGAAGGCGTTGTGGTTTTCAGCGTTACCGAGATAGAACGCTATACTGTTCGGGAGAGGGTAATCCGACGGCCTGAAGTCGTCGCCGCTGGTAGCTGCCATCAGATCATCGCAAAAGCGGTTCTGGGCTTCCTTCTTGATTTCGTCGTGCTTCTCCTTTCGGAGCTTTACGACACGGGCTGTGACTTGATCAAGGAAGGCTGGCTGGGCAACCCTAGAACTGCCGTGATTCTCTGCGATAATCTCGGAGCGAGCTGTGCGCTCGACTGTGCGCTGGAAGTCTGCTGAGAGCACGATACCGCTGGTCTCCCGCTTAAACGACAGCATAGCATCCCGCGCTTTCAAGGACCATAAGCAGTTCCGGCCGGGAAGACGACGGACGAAGCTGAAGAAAGAAGAGCTATCGCTCATCAAGTCCATCCCGATAGTATCCGCGTCGTCCCAACACTGCATCATAAGAGCTACCACGGCCTTTGGGGAGTGGAACGTGGGCTCGTTGTACGTAACACCAAAAGATCCAAGTCGTTTGCAAGTGTTGGGGCCGCGGAAGAAGAAAGGGCTGAAATCCAATCGTATATAGTGGATTGGAGCGTTACCCTCAGCATCCGTGGTCGCTGCTGTGACGTCGATGCCCGTCTGGTCTTCATCACCCACCGAGGTTGCTGCTGTATCCGTAGAGATCAAGCTGGTGTCGGGCTCAGTCAACAGGGATGTGTCCTTGCTGCTCGTCTGGTCTTCGTCCTCCGTAGAGCTGCTGTCATCCGCACTGCTGTTACCGTTACTATTCTGGCCGCCGTTCTCTCCAACATTCTCGCCCTCTACAGCGTTACTGGTGCGTAAGGCTTTGGCCTTGCCTTTGTTGTGGGGCGTTCTCGGATGCTCCTTGATGATCTTGATCAATGCAGGGAGTTTGGCGACGTCGAGGAGGTCGCAACGCGAGATGGCCAAGCTCTCAAGGTTGGGCATGGAACTGATAACCAGACCCACCATGTTGACGTCCAAAAAGGGTAGCCGGTCAAGGACGACGTGTCGGAAACTCTGCGGAATGCTAACCATGACCTTGACTAGAAGAATGAGTTAGCATGAATTTAGCTGAGGAAACATTGATATATCCTTACTAATATGAAGAGTCCTCCCGAAATCATCGAGATATGGCGTGCGACTCGGGGGCTTGGGGGAGGTTGGTGTGATGACCAGAATGTCGCTCCGTACACCAGCTCTCTTGATTTCTCCTCCATCGTTGCCGAATTTGGGGAGATAAACATCAGCGAAATTCTCCCCGGTGGTGTAGTCCCAGCGTTCCTGACATAAGGTTAACACTGAATATAGGTTGAAGATATTAGAGGTGAGGCACTAACCATGATTCGGTCGACATATTGGCCGGCCTGTTTGCATGTGAAGGCCAATGCCGTGATATCGCGCACACTCGGATGCAAGAGATTGATGATCTCTCTGGCGAGATCAATCTGGGTGAGGAATCCAATTAGTGGGTTCACATCGTTGGCGCCCACTTGCGTAGTGTCTTCAACCGAGATCATGTCAGGGTTGATCTATACAACAGTGTCAGTTCAGCAATTTTTGAACAGGGAAACTAGGACAAAACTTACGCCACCCAAAAACCCAGGAACTTTCGGGGCATTCTTGTTGCAGCTGTCACGAGCCTCAAACAACCCCAACAAGCCACTTCTCTCGTACTGGTTCCGAACTTCCTGCTTCTGCTCCGGCATGTAGTCAGGGAACACAGCAGGCAACATCTCACGGCGACCCTTCTCAAGAGCGGTGGCGAGCTCATACTTCACATGCTTGCCCTCGAGAGAAACCCAGGGACGATCGTAGTTGAAGTTCAGAGTTCCAGGCTTGTCAATGGGAGCACCCTGTGAAACTGTTAGCGTGGGTGCCGGCAAAGGATCAGAACTGAGAATTACATAAAGCTTTGACATCTCCCACGGCTTGGGGTATGAGGGAGACAGCTTTCCAGCAGAACTGGCAGAATCCTGGGCTTTCTTAGACTCATTGCTGAGCTTCCCATTGCCTCTGGGATGGCCAGAGCTGCTGGAGCCACCGTTGTTGGGGCTAAGTTTCTGGTAACCCTCTGGAAGCTCCAGTTGGGTAGCGCGTCTGTCGGCCTGGGCACTGGATTCACCCTTTTGAGTGGCATTCTTTCGGCCCTTCTGTCTGCTGTTCTTTGATTTCGCCATGGTATCGACTTGGTGATGACTCGGCGATGTCTAGAGCGAAGAGTTTTGCAGCTGTTGTTGAAAATAGTGAGCTTTTACTGTCCTGAATTGAGGAGGGCGTGGATAAAAGTGAAGTGATGGATGGTAAGTGAACCCAAAAATCTCGGCAGGGAGAAGGAGAGGTGCCAAAGAAACAGGGAGAGGTGAAAATTTTAAAATGAGCGTAGACAAAAGAGCAAGATGGGTGGAGGGGGGATAAGTGAAGTGTAGCAAAGGCTTCCAGCTAGAAGAGATGAGGAAAAACTTGATCAAGCCACCGCCACGGTACCCACAAAGGCAAACCGATGGTAGGAAGGAGCAGAGGGTGGTTGTGGCTGACCGGTAGAGGTGGTAGTGGCAAGGATGGTGGGAATAGGCAGGAAAAACGGTAGGTTTGAAGGAAAGATCTGGGGGAAGGAATTAGGTGAGGATGATACAACAGTGCCAGGTAGGGGTAAGGAGTGATGTGAATGAGTGAAACTTTGGAGTGAGCCGAGGAGAGAGGGCGGAATTTCTGAGGGTATGAAGTGGGAGAAAACAGCTTGTGATTATAGAAGTGAAGAGGAAGATGTAGAGAAGGAGAAGAGTTGGGAAAGAATGGGAGGAGGGATATGTCGTTCGAATACAGGGTATTGGGTAACACCAGGAGAGGAGTACAAGGTAGGAACTTACCGGAGAGTGGTTGGTGCAAAGATTTTTGGCTGGTTGCTTGATGTAGATCAAGCAATGGTCTTTGCTGTGGTTGTGAGTGGGAAAGAAAGATAGGCGTTGAGAGGGAAGGAGGGCAAGACTTTATAACCTCTCGAGGAGAGAAGACGGCTGGGCCAGACCCACTGCGTCGAGTTCACCTGGGCCCTTCCGCAGTGAATAAACAAAGAAACAGGTATCTTGACGCTCACACGCGCCTTATCAAGGTGGCTGGGAGAGATATCTAGATAATTCACCTTCAAGATAACCAGATAGACCCAGTTAGAATCGTTGAGATGTGCTCCCAGGAGTTCGGACAAAGGAGTCAGGGGACACTAGGGGCTACGAGAGCAACGTAAAAATCCCAACTTATCAGATTACGTGTGAATCCAGCTCTGTAGAAGGGCAGAGATAGGTGGCCTGGTAAATAAAACATCGGGTGAATACATTGCAGAGATAGGGACTCCTCTATTCACTTCGATGTCGAGCAACCTGAGGCCATCAAACCTATCTCTGCTCCTACGTTGGTTCCCCACTCTTCGATGCTCCCAACAACCTGATAACAAACTCTGCACAGACTTTTCTTTCCGGCGCCGTCATCAGTCTCAGAGATCTAGGTTAAGATGGGCCCAACCGCTTTCAAACTCTACCCTTATCTCGCAGATGACCCAGGGTCCGGGACCGGCCGCCACAATTCCGGAGGGCCGAACCCGAGGAGTCATAAGCGGGGCCAGGATCGTTACCTGCCAGGCTGGTTCAGACTCGCCGGATGGGTTCAGACTATGGCACACTCTCACTAACGGAATGCCCCTTAGGGAAAGGAAGGAAATGGCATGATGCACATAGCAAGATTGAAAAGAATATCTGTACGAACTGGAAAAAGGTATGGTAATGAAGTATATATAGCTACTCTCCATGACACTCAGAAGGCAGGCCTCAAGTCCATGAACTGCTCAACTATCATCAACCAAGTGTTCTTCCTTGCGAACTGCGTTTGGCTGTCAACTCTCTCAGAGCAGCAGGCAATCGTTTACTTCGTGAGAACTACGTTTTATAGCTAGGTACCAATGCAGAGAAACAATCAACGGCATTGTGCAGTACTTACCATACAATAAGTTCAACCGCAAAGCACATCATAACAACATTCTTTAAAGGTAATATGCTATGATCAATGCCCCTGATATACTTTACTTATAGATATGGTCCGTGCTCGTGCTCAGGGGCACCTGTTGACACAGACGTCCCTGTAGCAACCACAGCAGGCAACTTTCCATGCACCTAACCATCAAAAAACTATAAAGGAGGTAGTCAAGAAGCAAACTATCTCTATGTTTGCCACAGAGCAAACTATAGCGGGGATCGGGTAGTGTCCGATAGCAACCAAAGCACTGGCTAGCAACAAACGAATTGTCAATCACACACCCACCCCCCTCAACCGAACAACCAAGCGATAGACAGATCACAAGGAATGAGCAGATTTCTGTTTGGGAGGGCCAAACCAAAGAAACAAAGGCCGATAACGGGCTGCTACCCCATTGGTAAGACTTGCTCTGCTGTCCCACACACACACCACTACCTCTTAGTGGGAAACGTGAGAACTTGGGGCTCCCTATTTGTGGGTGTGCTTTTGCTCAGCCGTGAAGCAACTTTGCGATGAAGTAAATGACCAAGTAAGGGCAGGAGAAGGTGATGTGAAAACAAGAGCTCGTGAATACTAAAACGAGGTTGTGAGGGTGATGGCCGTCAAGAACGTCAAGAAGGTTTGGCTTTGCGGTGAAAAAGTAAAATCACAACCCCAATCTTTGGCAAGCTCGTGAATATGGAACCCCGCTTCATGCCAACCAAGGAGAAGACAACGACAGCCCGTCTCCCCCCTCTCCCGTATTACTGGCGCCTTGAACGTTTCCTGCTACTCGAATTAGCTTCAATTCAAGACACCCAGCATTCTGATTTCAGGTCGCGTGCTGCCCATGACCGATAAAAAACGTAACCACTTGTCCCACCCTCACGCGGGAAATAACTGAGCGATATTTCTATCCATTGGACAAGACAAATCATGTATCACTTCTGGGCCGATGGCAACCTAGACTTGAGATCGACAGTTGCTGATCTAATGGTGAGACCTTCGACATCAAAGTCATGTGTGCGGGGCAAGGGTCGAATCAATCGTGGGCCGGATAACGAAAGAAAATGGAAGAATACACATGAACTGAACTGAGACTGCAGGTACTCGCTTGTCTCTCCTCCTAGGTGCAGGAAAACTGTGCAGCAAGCCTGCATGAGCGTTGATGCGGCATGACAGACGAAAACTGAGAGGTCAGCTGTCTCCGAAGTTGTTGGCTTGGGATGGGGATGAGATGGGATGAGCAAAATATGAGATCCCACAGGTTGTATCTCTTGTTCTCTTGTTGTTGGTGGCAATCGATGTATCAGAAGAAAGAGTAGCTGTTGTTGAGCGGGACCATGATTCGAGAGATCCAGTAAGTTGGGGGACACAGTCACCGTGTAAGTCACCATTTGCACGGTACAAAAATCACGGTGCAGACCTCGATCTCCAATATTTTGCCGGTCAGAAAATGAAGACGAGAATCAAACGTCAGTCACCTCATGTCACAATCTCAGAACGGAAATCGCGATTTCCTACAAAGCAGCAGCACATACAACCCGCCAAAGTCACCTCATGCGCAAGATGGATGATTGGAGGGGTGGAAGGACGGATGAGGAGGGGCATATTTCTACACTACCTTATGTGGGTGGTGTCTGAAGTGGGTGTATCACAAGATCTGGCCGTCAGAATCCTCGACCGTCTTGTTCTGATCCGATCATGACTGTTTGTTACTTTTGTTGACTGTTCCGGTCCGCGTTACATGCCCCGCGCCCCAACGCTGAAGATCTGCTTCTTTTTGTGGTTCTTTACCCTATCCAGCCTAGCGAGTTTCCGGCATTGAAACATAAAATCATAACCTATACGCTCTTATCAGCACGATTTACACTATATGTCTGGTTGTGTTGCGTTGGGGCAACCGAGGGAAATTCTGGAGATTGAAGCTGACCTGGTTTCCGAACCGAAGGCTGGCAGGAAGCGGTTGTGGGTTGATGGCGATGGCTACCAACATCACCAACCACTAGCTTAAGTGCGCTTGTACATAGTGTGAGATTGTGCAGGGCGGGAGGACTAGGTGCGGATGGTGAGATGCATGTAGGGACCCGCTGGCCATCCTGAGGACGGATTTTGAGACACTTGCTCTCTTCGTCATCAAACAGTGGGGATGTTTCTCGTCGGCGGGTGAGCTATCGGAACCGATAAGAAGGACAGGATTCAAAGGGTCGGTGAAGATGAGCCCGAAGCGCTTTGTTGAGATCGAGTCGCGGCCGGCTATGTTCGAGTCTGTCTAGGTCAACAATGCCGGAAGCAGATGCCGGGTCACCGAATCCCAGGACTCGCAGCAGCTGCTGTCACCTAGGTATCAAGCACCAATAATTGTGGCTAGTACTGAGTCACCACCAGCACAAAAAGTAGTGTAGCAGTAGCCGTAGTGTCCTCGTGAAAAATAAAGCTCCGCTGTGCGTTGCAAACCGGACTTCCACAAAAATACGCTATTTTTTGGCAGCCTCACACGCCTTCGATGCTCGTG